CAGGTGCTAGTTTGAGCCGATTTAAACTGGTTTGAATTAACTAAGTTCTGCAACTAAGAAAGATAGATGAGGTAATGCAAAAGCCTTATATGGACAAGAAATAATGAGGTAATGCTACCCAAGTCTCTCGGCCAGGGCCAATAAGGTAAAGGCATGCGATAGGTGAATTAGCCTAAGCCAACGGGATGAAGACAGCGTGACTTGAGAGATAGGATAAGGAATAAGAAGACGATCCTCGGGGCATGCAGCCAGTGAAAACTCCAGAGATCAACCATCACAGAAGCAGAAGGGTACATCAAGGAAGGGTGACATCGAGTGCAGCACCTGGCCAGCTTCAGTTGTCGTCGTCAGCAGCAGCAGCAGCTAGCTTGATCGGGTATTAGCTTTTATATTCTGTGATTACTTGGGGATTGTCAGAGGACTCTAGTGGGTGTATAAATAGGTCCTAATTCATTCTGTGGGAAAATATATCAGGCCCAGTTTGGTGATAAAAACATTTAAGCAACACGTGTCTTGTTTAATACATTAATAGAAGTAATTTGTGGGGTTACAAGAATTGACTCTTCTCTCTGTACAAGCTGATAACTGAAGCCAGTGTTCTCCGGGCTCCTGACAACAAACCCAAACTGGGCATCACTGAGCAGGTCATTGCTGAGCAGGTGCTGCTTGATAGCACTGTTGATGACACCTTCCGTCACTTTACTGATGATCAAGAGTAGACTGATAGGGCGGTAATTGACCAGGTTGGATTTGTCCTGCTTTTTATACACAGGACATACTTGCACAATTTTCCACATTGTCAAGTAGATGCCAGTCTTGTAACTGTACTGGAACAGCTTGGCTAGGGGAGCGGCAAGTTCTGGAGCACTAATCTTCACTGTTATTGCCGGAACGTTGTCAGGGCCCGTAGCCTTTGCAGTATCTAGTGTCTCCAACCGTTACATGATATCACGTGGAGTGAAGTGAATTGGCTGAAGACTGGTATCAGTAATGCTGGGGACCACTGGAGAAGATCGATCATCCACTCGGCACTTCTGGCTGAAGATTGCTGCGAAAGCTTCAGCCTTATCTTTTGCACTAATGTGCTGGGCTCTTCCATCATTGAGGATAGGGATATTTGTGGAGCCTCCTCCTCCAGTGAGTTGTTTAATTGTCCACCATCATTCATGATTGGATGTGCAGGACTGCAGAGCTTAGATCTGATCCGCTGGTTGTGGGATTGCTTAGCTCTGTCTATCACTTGCTGCTTTTGCTGTTTGGTGCGCAAGTAGACCTGTTTGGTGGCTTCATCAGGTTGACACCTCATCTTCAGATACCCCTGGTGCCGCTCCTGGCATGCCCTCTTGCACTCTCCATTGAACCAGGATGGATCCCCTGGCTTGATGGTAATGGTTGAGTGGGGGATACGCTGGGCCAAGAGGTTACAGATTGTGCTAGAATACAATTCTGCTGCTGTTGATGGCCCACAGCGCCTCACAGATGGCCAATCTTGAGTTGCTAGATCTGTGCAAAGTCTGTCCCATTTAGCACAGGGATAGTGCCACACAACACAATGGAGGTTATTCTCAATGCGAAGGCGGGACTTCGTCTCCCCAAGGACTGTGTGGTGGTCACCCTTACCGATACTGTCATGGACATATGCAACTGCAGCTGGCAGATTAGTAAGGATGAGGTCAGGTATGTTTTTCCCTCTTGTTAGTTCCCTCACCTACTGCAGACCCAGTCTAGCAGCTATGCCCTTTAGGACCTGATCAACTAGACCGGTCGTCCACTATTCATCAATCACGTTACAGCCAATTCACGCTAACAATACACGTGTTATAGCAGAAATATCTGTAAGCCAAAGTTTAAAAGGAGGCAGTTAATTTAAAATTGATTTTTTAAAAATATGAGCAGAAAACCCTGCCATAGCAGGGTATATTCTTTATATGAGCTCATAAGTTACATCTGCAGCAGGTGAGAATGGGGAATGGTCATTGCCACATTGACCATGCATTAGGCACTGTAATCTCACCCACTAATTCATACATTTAATTGCTGATTTTCCATAAAGTCTCTTGTAAAGACTGATATCCTGCTTTTCCAGTATAGTTGTGGCAGTAATGCCACTTGGAACTTGCAATATCCTCAGATTGTAATGTTTCAATATCACCAGAGTAGCCAACAGTGAGACAGGCCAAAATCTTCACACTGGAAGGACATTTCTGTACAAAATTTCATCATGTTTAATAAGGCAAGATCTCATCATGTTTAATAAGCCAAAACTGATGGGAAGGCAACGCTGAAAATGACGTCAATTTATACAAGTCTTAAACAGTTTTCCATTTGCAATTACATATTTAATGAGACGTGGTAATCATTTCAGAAAGATAAATAACCATATTACTGATCAATTTATTAAAATAAACAAGATAAACTAGCACAGCGAATGCTAGAAAGATTCAGCAGGTCTGACAGCATCTGCGGAGAGAGAAAAACAGAGCTAACAAGTTCTGAAGAAGTAACCAAAATTGAAACGTTAGCTCTCTTTCTCCCTCCACAGATACTGGCAGACCTGTTGAATTTCTCCAGCATGCTCAGTGCTTGTTTTAGATTTACAGCAGCTGCAGTATTTTATTTCTTTTCCACTGAAGCAGTTGTGGAAATATTATGCTGCAGCAGTGCAAAGTGTTGTCAATACAATATGAATTCAACAACTGCATTTATTCTCTTAAAGATATGTGAATGATCTCCAAAAATGTTCAGTCTAGATAACCCCAAGCTCTTTAAACTTGTTTATAAAGTGACTTGTAGGAATGCTGGAGTTTGAGACTCAAACAGCTGAAGGCATGAACACTGTGATGTTTGTAAGATGCCAAAACTGAAAGACAGATCTCAGAGGCTGAAGGTTTGAAGAAAGTTACAGAGCTTAGGAAGGGTAAGACCATGAACAGATCTGACAAAAGAATTAAGAACTTTTAAAATGAGATGGGGCAAGACCAGAAGCTGAATGAGACTTGGTGTGAGTTAGCCTATGTACTAAGATACTTGCCAATTTGGAAAAATGTAATACCTTAATTCAAGAATACAGTAAGTGCAACTCAGAAAGAAGGGTCTTGACCCAAAACATCAACTTTCCTGCTCCGCTGATGCTGCCTGGCCTGCTATGTTCCTCCAGCTCCACACTGTGTTATCTCTGACTCCAGCATCTGCAGTTCTTACTATCTCAGGTATCCTTGACTTAGGTAGTAATATTGATGGGAAAATTCCTGACACATTTCAATCACAGAATCCCCACACTGTGGAAGCAGGCCATTCTGCCCATTGAGTCCACACCAACCCTCCGAAGAACATCCCGTCCAAACCCACCCCCCTACCCTATATTTTCCACGGCCAATCCACCTAACCTGCACATCTTTGGACTGTGGGAGTAAATCAGAGCACTCAGAGGAAACCCATGCAGACATGGGGAGAATGTGCAAACTCCACATAGACAGTCGCCCAAGGTTGGAATCGAACCCAGGTCTCTGGCACCATGAGGCAACAGTGCTAACCACTGAGTCACTGTGCTGCCTTCGGTAGTCATGCAGCAAGGCCTTAACAACATCAGTCTAAGGTTGTTAAGGAGCAAATGATTTTTGTGCCACACAAATGTTAGGCAATGACTATCTTAAACAAGACAGAATCTAACTATCTCCCCCGCTACAGCTGAATTTCCATGCTGTCAACATCTTGGTGTTATTTGAGGCAGCAGAACAAAGTGAATGAAACGTCTAAATACTATGGCTACGAGAGCAAGTGAGAGATTAGGAATTCTACAGTCAGTAACTCACCACCTCTCTACCCAATGCCAACACTATCTTCATGGTTAAAAGTCAAGAGCATGAAGGCCTATTCTCCATTTGCATGGATACATGCAGTTTCAATAACGCTCAAGTGACTCAACATCATTCAGGAATACAGTCCAACCCATTGGCAACTCATTCACCACCTACACCATTCACAATTTTACCACCAATGCCCAGTGTACACCATCTACAAGTTGCATTGCAGTTATTCATCAAAGTTCCTTCAAAGGTACCTTCCCAACAATGAGAACTCTACTCCTTAGAAGAAGGGCAACAGGTATATGGGAACTCCATCACCTACAAGTTCTCCTCCAAACCGCACACCTTACTGACTTGGAAATATATCGCCGTTACTTCACCATGGCCAGGTCAAAATCCCGGAACCGGATCTCGTTTCTCCACAACAGTAGAAAGATTGCTGTGCTTCAAGAACGTGACTCGGCGTCTTCTTCTTCAGAGGAATGAGGGATGGACAATACCTGCAGACGTAGCCATATCCAGTACGGGACCGTAGGGCAGAGTGGCCGCCGGCACGCGGCTGTTGCGAAGGGGGTGGGCAGTGCGCATGCGCGAGGTCGATGTGTTGGGGGGTCGGCCGTAGTGCGCATGCCTGCGTTAGGCAGCGCGCCATTTTCCTTGTGTTTGAACGAGCCTTGAACGGGGAGCAGTTTTTGGGGTCTGAAATCATTTCGACTTAAATAAAGAAGGTAAGAGAGACTGGGCCTTTCAGATCTTTGTCCGCTCCGTACGATCTCCACGGACCGATACTGAGCCGCCTGTCCTCTGTTTTGAGGAGCTAGGCCCATTTTTTTCAGTCTCAAAAAGGGGCTGATAATCCCGGCGGATGTTGTCGATCCAGCGACTTCCACAAAGCGACTGTCCAGAAGTCGGTACATTGCCGTTTACGAGGCATCGAAAGGGGGCGTCCTGGTTACCCGTCCGTTCGCTTTTGTTCGAACGGATCGGGAAGGAAGGCAATGCTCCGCCGGGCCTAGCCCTCGGCCCAACGTGAACTGCTGTACTTCAACCGAACCTGCTGCTCCCTCTCCTGGTCAACTCTGATTGGTGACGGGGCGGCAAATATCTGCAGTTTGGCTTAGTGATTGGTTGGTCCAGCTGTCAATCACTGGTCTACGTGCAACACGTTCGGTTGTGGCCGTAGTTGTTCCAGGCCTTGCTCTGGGTCTTGAAGCAGCGCTGCTTTCCGAGGGGAAATGTTTTGTTGCCCTCGCTGCTTACCTTAGCACGCTAGATATATGGCTATACAAGCTGCCCTTTCAAGCTTCTTATTATGAAACACGCGGTGGGTCAAAAATGTATATTACAAAACCAATTGAGAACATTCTAGTATTCTGTTTGCCAAGTGTAAGCGATTTCAGACAACCCAATCGAGAGTGCCAGCCAATCAACATTTTTAGAAATAAGATAAGCTCCTCTGCAATTAAAGCCGAACAGTAGATTTGATACTAGTGCATACCGAAGCCGACTTTAATTATTGTTGAGACCTTCACGAAACTTTATCCTCCCCGCCCGAGCGACGTTCTCTCTGATGCACTTCGATCTGAGAAAGATAGAGCCTGTTGGTGCTTTTTTTGTTTTATTCTGAATCTGTGCTCTCGTTCATAAACGACACTGTAAGTGTAAACTTGTCATACGGGACTTGCACTTCGCTTCCAATTGCAGTACTTCAGCGTCTTGGCTGTTGTGAGGTTCACTTGCATTTGACACATTTGTGTAGTTCGTGCTATTATAAATGAAGGAAAATGTGTTTTTCTGTGGTTCTTTTCATGGCCACTAGATGTTTCAGGCATTTATAATCAATGAGTACTTTGAAATGCAATCACTGTCGTAATACACGACAGCTCAATTGTCCAAAGTCAACGCTCTATCAGATAATGAACAAATAATCTTGTATTGTTGATTGAAAGATAAATGTTGATCAGGACCTTCAGGATAACTCCCCAACTCATGATGAATCCTTCATAGGCTGTTATGTACAAGCATCCAGTGGCAAGACATTGATGTTATTGTGTTAATTGTGGGATTTAGCAAAGCAAAATAGATGTCAAGTTTTCTTAATTTTTGTCAAAATCTCAGCATTAGTATAGTGGTCAATTCAATGGCCTTTGGCAGTGTTTCTGAAATATTCCACTCTTTTTGAAGGCTAATACATCAACAACACCTTTGTTTTGTAATACAATGTAGTGAGATGCACATGTGTGTTATCATTCATTAGTCTGTTTGACTTGTGTAACTTAATCTTGTCATTGGCATTCGAGCTGAAGGTGTGTAGTGCTGCTTCTGAGTGGTATTTAATGATGCAGAAATAGTCATATGGTGGCATTGGGGCGAGGGTAGATGTTGTCAGGGTTGACAATGGTTGAGTGGGCTGCCAGAAGCAGAATACAGTACTACATGTAAGAGGTAATTAAGGAAAATAAGAGACAAGATGTGTCCCAGCAGCCATTAAGTTGAAGTGTGGAACGACTGCCTGAAATATGGGATGGTCCTGTAAATTCTGAGATGGTTGATCACCTTGTGTGATCCATACCTGTCAGCAAAGAAGCAGAACTGAGACACTGCATAACAATGTTACTTTAAGTTTATATAATGCGTAGTTGTCACAGTCCCCACTATTTTAATATATTTCTATTGGAAGCCCTACTTAATGTAGTCTCAAATTTATCTTTGTGTCAGTTTGTAAACAATCTTACTGTTTACTTGGTTATGTTTTTCTGAATTTATACATTATTTAAACTTAGTAAAAGAGCTCAATTCATATACATAATCTTATATTTTATCCACTGATGAAGTTACCTTGACTATTATTTCTATTCCTGAAATCAGCTTGTCTTTGTAGTTAAAAGATAGTAATTTAGAATATTTCCATAATAAACATGCAGCAAGTCTGTTAGTACCCAAAAAATGATGTTAGTCTTTTGTCTGAGATTTGCTGCAGATTTTATTTGGCACTGTTACTTTTTACAAGTTATCTGTATTTCCATAACCTCGCTCAGTAAGCATGTGAGCTGATCATGCATTTTCACCACAAAGTTTGAAGTTTCCTTTATGAGCATTCTTATGTCATGGTTTGCTTTTAAGGCAGCCTTACAAGTTATGAACTGTTGTGGAAAATTCAGGTATTGGTTTTTATTGTTCTACAAAATATTACGTTTTGTGGATCAATTGCCACATCAACAATAAACTGAATCTTCAGATGGTGGCATATGGCAGAATTGAAGCCAGTCATAAGGATTATAGGAAAATGCTGAAGAAAAGCAAAATGAGAATTTAGAAGAGCTGCAACAAAAATAGAAGTTGCTGGAAAAGCTCCTGTTCTGTGGAAGGGCCAACGGACCCAAAACGTTAACTCTGACTTCTGTTCACAGATGCTGCCATTCCAGCTGAGCTTTTCCAGCAACTTCTGCTTTTGTTTCTGATTTTACAGCATCCACAATTCTTTTGGTTTTTATTCAGGAGAGCTGATTGGATATATAGGAGAGAATAACTTGTAACATTAAATGCAATAAAAAGGGCATCTAAACGCATACAAAAGGAAACAGTAGTAGTAGTAAAGAGTTAACAGATGTCCAATGGTGAAGTAGTGCTTTAATTATGAAGGATGGAAGTGTTTTTCTTTAATCTTTACCTATAGCATACCTGAGGACTTGACATAATTAAGTTTGCTGTCTAAAATGTTTTGGTTTTGAAAAACATTACCAGAACTTAACGTGGAATCGTCGGATGCTGGTGAACTCCACCCTAAACTTTTTTGTTTAAAAGTCAGAAAGGAGAGAAAAGAAAGAGAAGGCTGTAGCCACAATTTTTCAAGCTTTCTTAAGTATACCAAATGTTGTGGCAGAACTGGAGTTAGTCAGTCTGTTCCCTTTGTTTGAAAGGTAAGAATGGTTAAACCAGGTAATAATGCACCAGTTATTTCAAAATTTATTTCTGGTCCAACTTTTCAAATCCACAGTTCAAGATCAAATAAATGAGCATTTAGAAGTGTATTTGTTAACAAAGGTAACCAGCTTATTTTTGATGAGGAAGTTGTTTTTGATTAAGGCCAGTGGAATTAATGGCTTCAATTACTTGGATGAAAAAAAAGTTGCAAAGTTTAAGAAAAACAGTGATTGTACATAGCTTTAGGTATCGTGTTATCAAAAGAATGTCAAATAAACTGAGCAGCATAAAATCACCAACCTCATAACTTGAATTTGAGATAGTAAAGTTGCTCACACTAGAGCAAAGTTAGTGAAAAATATTCTTTTACAGTTTTGAGTTTTGTTCAATTAAATCCTATTTTTGTATGGAAATGGCTTTGAGGGTCATCGATTTAAGATCTTTTAGTGAGATTGAGGAGAGAGGTTAGAAATTTCTGTACGCAGAAATTGTTACTTTCCCACAGTAAGTGGGTAATGCAAATCCTCTTAAGTTAAACATGGATACATACTTGAACCGTAAGACGATTCAAAGATGAGGTGAGAGCAGGACAGTAAAATTAGATCTAGATTGCTCAGTGTAGAGATGAGATTCTGTTCTGGAACACTTCATATCTGTGAAGACGTATTCTTATTTCTCTCCAAAAAAATTATTAATCCACCTGATTATTCCAGGGAGAGTTAAAATTAGCACAGTTGTTTTTTGGAAATTAGACATATTCTCCATTCCTGGAGTGTACAGGAAAATTGTGTTTTGGAGAAAATAAATGACCAGACAGAATTTGGCTATGGTAAATATTAATCTCATCCCTTGGTCATTTTCCTTTCAGAATTTCTAAATATGGATCTCAGTGATGCCAATTTACAATCCCTGTCTGAATTTCTGAAGAAGACTCTTGACCCTGATCCAGCAGTTCGGAGACCAGGTAACTTTTCTGTTACTAAAAGATATTTGGAACATATAGCATCTGTACTTATGTTTTTGGCATGCTGGTGATTATTCTTTCAAAACTACCATCAGTAGAAGAGCAGATTACTAGGCATTCATTGTATCTTACTATATGCAAATACTTTTATTATCTATGTATAGTAACTACACTTTAAACATGTAATCAGAAGATTTGAACCTTGGCTGTGGTAACTCTTTCTTGTTCATCAAAAATGTTCTGATAACTTGAATGCACGACCCAGTCTACCCAAACTCAGTACATGACTGGAAAATGCTGCGTTGTCAGAGCCATTTTAAATGTAATTAACTGAAGCGCTATCTTGGAGTGGAGTAGCAAGTTGTTATTTGGTTCAGCAAGTCCAATTAAATTAATTTTAAGTTGACAATCTCGCCTCGCAGTCTTAATTTGATTTTAATTTTCTTCCAAACCATCATTGAACCAACTTATGCATGTTCACTTGCCTATGGTAAATTCTTGGGCACGTCTATTTTGATTATCTACTTAAGATCAATTTGTATTTCTGCCTTCACTGTTGCCATCACACCTCACCTGCAATTTATGCTTTTTACTTTTTAAACTTCCACCCTAGCATTTCAAACCTTGATCATGTGAATGAATTGCTGAACAGCTTCTGTCAATCCCCTTCGTAATCATGAAAACTTCGGAAATTCAGTTTTAATATGATGGCTCAGTGGTTAGCACTGCTCCCTCACAGCACCAAGAACCCGAGTTCAATTCCATCCTTGGGCAACTGTCTGTGTCGAGTTTGCACATTCTCCCCAAATCTGCTTGGGTTTCCACCCACAGTCCAAAGATGTGCAGGCTCGGTGGATTGGCCATGCTAAATTGCCCATAGTGTTCAGGGATGTGTAGGTAGGTGGGTTATAGGGGAATGGATCTGGGTGGGATGCGACAAGGGTTGGTGTGGACTTGTTGGGCCGAAGGACCTGTTTCCACACTGTAGGGATTCAATGAATATTCTATGGATGATGAGATCCTAGATTGCCTTGCCATACATCTTGTCATTAGCACATCCACATTAAAACTTGAATTCTTAATCTTCTGGGGGACAATAATATCTTTACAGTTAGTTGACCAAAAATTGCATTCTGCTCAGAAATCTGTTTGGCTACGTCAGATACTCCTCAATATACAAGTTATATTGTTTTGCACAAAGTAACAAATACATTGGCCAGTCAAACCAGTGAAAGACTTAAACATAGCTTCTTAGATAGGAGCTACTGATTTTGAAGAAATTGTTGATCTTTTCATGATGTTCTAAACTATTATTTATTGTTGACCTAGTCATGTTATGTAATTAAACGTTATTAGGATACAAGTCTCAAGCTTTGTTCCCCAATATATGCCCCTTCTTGAAGTTAATATTTGTCTGGCTATTTCTTGCTAGGGCTTGAATAGTAAATTAATTTAATCAATTTTGAAATTTGAGAAAAACCCGTGACTTCATGAATATTTCCTCAGTCAAATTACTTCGTTTCCACACTTTTTTTTCCAGGTTGAGGCATTGCAGAGGAAATATTGATCTATCTAAAATGTTTCAGTATATTTTTCACAACTGAAGTTTAAATGTTTGCTGTTGTTGAGTAACTGTTACACACTCCTAATACAGTGACCTGCATTTAAGAAAAATGCATTTAATAGGAATGGTTGGTTATGAGTCGGTTGACTTGCTCACCGAGCTGGCTTGTTTTCGTTTTTACATTTCGTCACCATGCTAGGTAACATCAGTGAGGCTTCTGATGAAGCGATGTTGTTCTAGTCTGCTTGGATATTATACTCACCATAATGGACTGGACAATATAAATTCCAAGCAGAGTAGAACAACGTTGCTTCATTGAAGGCCTCCCTGATGATGTTACCTAGCATGGTGACGAAACGTTTGAACGAAAACAAGCCAGCTCGGCAAGCAAGTCAACAATCTCATCCACAACCTGAGCTACAAATCTTTGCTAAAACCTTAAACAGTTGGTTATATTATCCAATGAGGATGATATTGACTTGAGTTATAATGTTATGGGCCATAGTGCCTTCAGTACTCCCATTTATTTTCAGCTGGACCAATGGTATTAAGGGTGTCTGACAATTTTTCTCGAGGCAGAAACTGAAGTAGTGGAACAAAAGATTACTCCATTAGAGTAAATCTGACAGCTTTCTCTCTGGAGGCAGCCATGCAAGCCCCAGAAGATTATTTTGCCTTGATTTCAATGTTAGTTTCAACAGCTAGGCTCCCTCAGAAGTTATTAGGAAGTCACATGGATTCACTGAACACCACATATGCATGAGTAGACTTAAAAATGCATTACACATACCTAGGAAAGACCATTAGTCTCATAGCTTGTTTCTGAAAAGTCACAGACGCTTTAGTTGTAGTTTTAGTGAATTAGTGTATTTTTTAAAAAAGCAATGTGGCATGTCTTATTGTTTGTAAGTATAAAACTTTCCACCTACTGTCAGAATCACTGTCATCATTTCTCCTCTTACCTGTTGCAAGTTTTTGTTCATTGACAGAGTTTCCTAGTTCCTTACGCTATGAATACTGCACAAAATTAGTTATGTCATGTTATTTGAGCTATCACTAACACCAACCAACTCACTTGTGCAAACTACCTACTATAAGCATTATGGATTGTATTGATATACTGAAAACAAGAGTTTTTATTTTTGGGATTCAAGAATGTTGCCCATCCTTCTTGGCCTTTATGTAGTCAATCAGTAAGTGTAGAACTAAAGTCAAATGTTGGGTGGACTGTTGGAATGGCAGTTACTTTCCTTGGGGATAATTCTAACCCAATTGGATCTGTATGACAATCAATCAGATTTTCTGCCATTTTTACTTGGTGTAATGTGGAATCTTGAAATTATTGATTTCCATGCTGGAGTTTGAATTTATATTTTAATCTCTCCATTCAAATGCATATCATTTAGCAATAGGTTTCACTGTGGCCTCCGATAAAGCAATGTTGTTCTACTCTGCTTGATATTATTATGATCCAGTCTGTTAAGTTGGGTTGTGTCATTTCTCGTTCTGTTCTGCATGGGTTTGTGTATGGGATTTAATTTCACGTGTTTGTTGATTGCATCACGGGTTGAAAACCAGTGTGTGCCTGTGGTTGGCTTGAGCTAAGATGGTCACGTTGTCCGAGTGCACTGAGATGAGGGAAAGTTTGTTGTGTCGTTTTGATGCCAGCTGATGTTTGTGTATCCTGAAGGCCATTAATTTAACTGGGACAACGTGACCATCTTAGTTCAAATCAACCATGGACACTCACGGGAATTCCCAGAGGCCTGGTTTTCAACCTGTAATACAATCAACAAACATATGGAATTAGACTCCATATATAAACCCATGCAGAACAGAACTAGAAATGACACAACCCAGCTTAACAGACCAGATCATATAAATACCAAGCGGAGTAGAACAACATCGCTTTATCGGAGGCGGCAGTGATAATGGTACCTAGCATGGTGATGAAACGTCTGTACGATAACCTGCTAGCTCAGCGAGCAAGGCAACAACCTCATCCACAACGTGAGCTACAAATCTTCGCAAAAACCTTATGCACGTCTTGTCCTGAATGAATTATTGAGGGGGAAAGTGAATTCTACGCACACTGAGAATTAATCTGCATGTTAACAAGTGGATCTAAGAAAACTTGCTTTCCAGGCGCATATTTAACTCTCAGTTCTTCGCTTTTCAGCTGAAAAGTTCCTGGAGTCAGTGGAGAGAAGCCAGAATTACCCATTGCTATTGTTAACTCTCATTGAAAAGTCTCAAGACAATGTCATGAAAGTGTGTTCAAGTGTAACTTTCAAGAACTACATTAAAAGAAATTGGCGAATTGTAAGTAATCTGTGAGACTCAGTTGGTTATTTGATCTTGCAGGTGATTTATAAGTGTTCAAATCATTCTTACAATGCTGTGTAGAAGTGCAGAGATTGATTCAAAGTAAAATGTTCTTGGGGAAGTTAAAGAACTTAGAACATTACAAATTTATTATTCTGCAATTAATAGGAATGTGTCACAACAGATATTCAGAAGCTTGATGCATATGTGTTGTTATTAAATGTTCTCTGCATAGCTTGGTAATTTTAGGAATTCTCTCTTGGTGAGATTAAGTAATCCTTTCTGTTATTCAAATTGTGCCTGGTCAGTTGACTGTGACATGTGAATCTGATCATCTTTTAATGCTATTTCAGACGTTGCAATGGAAAATGTGCTGAAGTAGCCAGTGTCTTATTACTTGATGATTTTGATTTTTCGGTATAGGTATATGTTAGTCATAAAATGGAAAATGAAACCATGCCAATAACCACCCCATTAGTCTCTTGCATTCACTGGCATCTTCGATGCTACTGGAGCTGTAGGTTTCACTCTTCCAGTGCATTCCTGGCCAGCCTCCCTTGTTATATCAACCGTAAATTTGAGATCATCCAACAATCTGCAGCCACTGCCCTAATCAATCAAATCTTATTCATACATCTCCCTCTGTTAGTAACCTACATTGACTCCTGATAAAGTAACATCTTGATTTCTAAGATTCTCTTCATTACTTCCAACTCCTGTTGTGGCCACGCTCCTCCCTATCTGTTATCTCAACCAACTCTGCAACTCTCCAAGATACCTGCATTGCTTCCAATTTTGGTCTCATGAGCATCTCCAATTTAATTGCTCCATTATTTGTTGTACTTTTGCTGTCTGGGATTTAGGTTCTATAGTTCCTTCTGCGGATGTCTCTGCTTCTCATGCCTCCTTTCCTCCTTTGAGCTGCTTGTTAGTACATCCTTGTTTTAAGGAAGCTTTTGATCTTAACCTCTAATATCTGTGTTTTGGTTTCAGGTGTTGTATCTTGATCCTGTTAAGTGGCTTGAGATATATTACTATGTCAAGAATAGCGTATAAAATTATTGCTGTCAAGAGAAGAATTGAAAGTGGTGCATGAGCTGTATCTATTGCTTAGTTCACATTATGTTAGTAATGTTCAGTTCCAGAACTTATTGTTGAAACCAGTGCAAGAGCTGAATGCCAGTGTAGTTGGCCTTGACATTAAGATAACGTGTACCCAATTGCACAGTAGTGAGGCAGGGATAGCATTGAGATCAAAGCTAATCCCTCCAGTAGCTCTGGAAGATGGTTATGTCTGTTGATGTGTGTGTAGCCTTGGGTTGCGCCTGCAGCTGTGCCTCTGTTCAGCATCCTTGTGATCAACCGCCTTCAGCTGCATCATCAATTCCTTCTTTCCTAATGTGAGAAGTAGGCTTTACTGATAATTCCAATGTTCAGTTCCAGTCCAGGCTCCCAAAATTATTAGGCGGCCCACTTGATACCTTCAGCAGACTCTGAATAATATTCAGTATGATTTAGCTGATAAGTTGAGTACCATTTGGTCTCTTTGATCTGCTACCAATTCTAGATTGTTACTTTCTAATCACTTTCCTCAGGGATGTTATTACACACCTCCTGGAGCAGGTAAGACTTGAACCAGGGCCTTCTTACACAGAGGTAGGGACACTACCACTGCACAACTAGAGCCCCTCCAAGTACTACATCACCAATGATGAGATTCAAACATTTTAAATAATCCCTAAGAACCTCTCTACAACATTTTGAGGCTGCCATTGATCAAATGATTCATGGAATATAACTTTGCAAAATAGCCAGCCTCTATTCGTAGTGAGTGGCTTATCTCTTTACACCTGAAAGCTTTCTGCTTTCTGTGTGGTTTAATTCATAAGTATAATGGAACACTTGTCTTGATTAGCTGCAGATACAATCAGTACTCAATGCTGTCTCAAATGTATGATCAATCAGCATGCATATTAGTGTATTCAGCATCTTCTATGTCCATAACTGACATACTTCACTGTGATTCATTAAGCTTCCTTCAGCAACTGTTGGCAAACCGATGACTTTCACTGTTAAAAAAAAAAGCATGTTGCACACCATATTAAATATATTATACACATATAATGTCATTGCTCCCTCCATTGAGTAATAGAGTCACTCACCGTTTAAGAAGTAACATGGTCACAAAGACTACAGTGGTTCAAGAAGCTCAGAATTATAGAAATTAAACATGAAAATTTTCAAAAAATAGAAGCAAAGAATTGTGGATGCTGGATGACTGAAACAAATACAAACAAGTTGCTGGAGAATTTCGGGTCCAGTGACCCTTCTTCAGACTGATCAGCTAGGAAAAGATGGCATTTATACTGATTACAGAGAGTGGTGGAGGGAGGGGAAGTTATTAGCAGATGGCTGCAAAGGCAACCCAGAGAGAGGGGGAGAGGAAAAAAAAGGGGAGAAGAGAAGCTAAATAGGTGATAATGGGTTCTATGGGGAAATGAAAATGAGTTGGCTGTGCTGAAAGCAACCCAGAGTGCTGGCCTCGTCATTTATGAAGAGTAGGTCTCAACTAGGAATAATTACAAAGGCATTCCAGAATTGATCTTTATTACCCAGCTAAAATTAATTTCTAATTCTTAGATTTTAAATATTACTGGTTTTAAAAAAATCTCAGCTTGTGGTTATACTCTTTTTGTCCTTCAGGTTGAAGATGAGCCAAACAAAATCTGTGAAGCGGATAGGGTGGCCATTAAAGCCAATATTGTGAATTTGATGCTGAGCAGTCCTGAGCAAATTCAGAAACAGGTACCTGAGTACTACTTGTACAAAAGATGAATGAGAGTTGTTTATTCTAGTTTTTGACTTGACCACGCTCTCTTGCAGTTGAGTGATGCCATCAGTATAATTGGGCGTGAAGATTTTCCTCAGAAATGGCCGCATCTTCTGACAGAAATGATTAACCGTTTTCAGAGTGGAGATTTTCATGTTATTAATGGAGTGCTTCGAACAGCACACTCCTTATTCAAAAGGTATTTGTCTTCTGCTGAACTTGATTTATGTAAGATTTCAACCTATGTAGACTGCTGTGATTCATTTTTTAATGTTTGGTGGCCTCTATAAATGTAAAACAAAATGCCCAAAAATCTGACAGTTTTTTTCTCAGGCATACTCCCTGAATAGGTAAGTGTGGGAATAAAGAGCCCATTCTCGGGCTGATCCCAAAGCTGAAAATCACTGATAATTGTGCATCCAAAGGATGTGCGTTGATTGCGCCCAACGCGACAGCCCCCCCCGGCCCTCCATATTCTCTAACACAAATTTGTTCCACTGTCAGAAATGTTATGATTGCCATATTCCCTGCTGCTTTCGGGGAAGGGTTAATGTTCTGTTATTACAGTCCAAGTCATTCAATCACTTTAATAGATTTTTCTTTAAAAATTCACCCAGTCAAGCTTTGAAATCTTCATTGCTTAATGGTTATAAGGACATGTGGCACACAACACACTACCCATCCCACAATCTGCAACCTACTTATTTTTAAGGCATTGATCAGTGCAGAGTGTACCTCAGAGACCTTCGCTGTGAAAGAATTGATTTCAAAATCAAACAAGGTCTCAGTTCCAATGGTGTCACATTTTGGAACTGCATCTGTATCCATCTATTGATTATTTCAGAAGCTATAATCAAAGTTGTGGTATAATAGTTAATTAGGTTTTCAACTTTATTTGGCTCATCACTGTTGTGGACAAATAAATAGTTTTTTTTTAATATAAGCTTCAATTGACAGTCAATATGCAATGGAAGAAATTCTGTAGTTTATCAGAGTTTTCAAATATAAGTAAGTTTGGAAGTATTTCCTCTGCAGTTGGCCTAGATCTCTCAGCAATGAAGCTGAAGCAGCATTTGCCATTGACCTTGAAGCACTGATCACTGGTGTGAATTTCCATTTTCTAAATGTCAGTTTGCGTTTGGCGACAAGTTGAAGGGATCTCCAGGTGTCTGGTGGCAGTAATGTCATCAGAAGAGTAAACAGCTAATCCTTTCAAGTATTCTGACAGACAGAAAATGAGAAAATAAAAACAAGTCTGTTTCAATGTTAATTTTTCCAAACATAAATTAAATGAATGGTACCCACAGAAAATTAAAGTAGGACCTAAAATATCGCAAATTGTAAGAAACGCAAGTATGTAGTTTTTTATTTTGTCATCATGACAAATTGATCATTTAGCAAGTTATTAAATAGCGTCAAGACTAAAAACTTAAGGATGTTTGAATTTCCAGTCACCAACTTGAATTGCAGAACAAAATCTGAAGATTTTAAAACTTACCTCATAAACTAAATTCAACATCAATCAAATGTTATTAGTAGGAGATTAATACTGTGAACTATGACCATTGCTGAAAAATGAAACATTTTTATCAAAGCTTTTTGTCTTGCACTCATCAGAACAATTTGCAAGAAGACCAGTTCATGGGAAAAGCTGCAGGAGAGGAGAGCGTTGATTGTTTGGCAAGTGAACTCTGGTAGAGACATTGCCATATAGAGAATCCACCCATTAATGCTGATTGACAGTTAACAGCCAGGCTTTGTTTTGGATTTTTTAAAGAGGCAGGTTGACTCTGAATGATCAGAACATTGCTCTGGGACACAAACTAGCAAATGCATGTCACCTGTTTTGTTGAGTTGGAACAGATACACTGCGTGTACATGCTCTTTCTGCCTTCAAAGACTCTAACCTATAGAAAAGATATCCCTTGGTTATCCACATGCATAAAAGCTTTACAGCACATGCTTGGAAGAATTGTGGTCTTTGCAGAAGACAATCTATGGTTACTTCTCGCTCCCAACAGGTTTACCTGTTCGTAGTTCACCTGAGTTATATTGACTCGAGCCTGTTAAAAACCAATTCCCTTGGTTTTCTAAGAATTCCTGATCAGGGCAGCACGGTGGCTCAGTGGTTAGCACTGCTGCCTCTCAGTGCCAGGGACTTGGGTTTGATTCCAACCTTGGGTGACTGTCTGTGTGGAGTTTGCATGTTCTCCCCGTGTCAGCGTGGGTTTTTGCCGCGTGCTTTAGTTTCCTCTCACAGTTCAAAGATGTGCAATTTAGGTGGATTGGCCGTGCTAAATTGCCCATAGTGTTCAGGCATGTGTAGGGAAGGTGCAGGGAAATGCAGCGTTACAGGGATTGGATAAGGGAATAGGTCTGGGTGGGATGCTCTTTGGAGGGTCGATTGGACTTAAGTGGCCTGCTTCCAGACTAGGGATTCTATTTTATTCTATTCTTGACTTGTAGTCTTCAATCCCTTAATTCTTTCTCTTTGTCTTGCCTGGGTGAATCTTCCAGTGGCCTTACATTTCTGCCTATTCTTTTTTATAGAGTAGCAAGCTTTCAGTAGCTTTTTGCCTGCTCACTAACTGACAACAGTTTTTTCTCTGCTACTAAGAACATCTCCCACCCTATCTTCCCACCCTCCCTTCATTAAATTGTGAAGAGACCACAAGGAGATGACAAGGGGATATTGGTTAGCAAGTAATCAGGAAAACTGATAGAATATTATTGCTTATTGTGAGAGGAATTGAGTACAAAATTGAAAAGGTTATAAGTGATATTGTTATTCAGGACATCGGTGAGACCACGTGGATTACTTTTTACAGTATCGGCCATCTTTAAGGAAGGATTTGAAGTGAATTGGAAGTAATTCAGAAAAAGTTTACCAGGCTGTTACCTGGAATGATTATGCGAAAAGGTTAGACTGGCTAGGTTTATATTCCTGGGTGTTTAGAAAATGTATGAGGCAATTTAATTGAACTATATCTAAGATTGGTGGGTCTTGACAATGTGATTAAAAAGTGTCTAATTTATATTTTTTAAATATCATTTTTAAAGTTTGGATTTCAAATTCAAGGTATGAAGGAGTGTTTGCCACCTTTTCTACAGGTCTTAAAAATAACCTAGTTTAGTCAGTCTTTCCAGAACCATTTCCTAATCCAGTGTGTCTCAGAGTAGGGACCCCCTTGAGTAATAATGGAGGATAGTTTGTGTGTTGCTGGGTTTTTGACCAAGGAGTTTAGATGTTGAGGGGCGTTGGCTTTTTATTTGGTTTAAGACAATTAAGGATTAATTTTGACTTTGGAAACAGATTGTATGCTTTTGAACAATTTTTGGAAGATACCTTTATTGGGGTTGTAAGCGCAATAATTTCTCTGCTGGAAAGGAATAGAACGGTTCCAGGAATAAGTTACTTCGGTAGAAAGTTAGTTTATGCAAACTCCAGACCAGAAGTGCTCAGATTAAAAGATTGAGAAAGTCTAAGCTTCCTGTTTAGAGTATTCATGCAGGAAGACTTCATAGTTCACAGGAAAGAACTGGAAAAAGATCAGTTGAGTCAACTTAAAGATTTAAGATAGGTAATCACACTTGATTTAAAGTGATGGTGTTGGGGAATAAATGAAAACTTTGCCATGTGTTTTAAGATCTTTCAAATTGACTTATGTATTTACATAACTTGGTTCGTTTATCCTTTCCCCCCACCTTTTAATGTAATAAACTTCTGTATTTTTGTTAAAGAAAATCTGCAGATTTGTGTGCATGTGTTTGAATGTATGACCTTCATATTAGAAATAAAAATGACCTGTCAAATCAGATTTCATTCTGGGATCTGACTTATCCAGTAGTCACATCAGCTGACAGCATAACAATAGGATACACGTGGGAAGGATTTCCCTCTTGTGGGAGAATCTAGAAGTATGCATCACCGTTTACATATAAGTAGTCCTCCTTTTAAGACAGAATCAGAAAAAAAATTTTCTCAAAGGGCATTGAGACCTTGGAACTCTCTTCTTGAAAGGGCGGTAGAAGCAGAGCTTAATATTTTTAAGACAGAAGCATGAAGATTCTTGATAAGCAAGGTGAAGGGGGTGTTATTGGAGAAAGATGGAAATATGGACCATGCAGATCGGCCAACTTTTTGAATGATGGAGCAGACTTAAATGGCTCTATTCACACACACACACACACTTCACAATTGTTTTGGACATTCCCGGGATGAGGGCATCGTCAGCAGTTATTGCCCATCCCTAATTATCCAGCGGGCAGTTAAAAGTCAACCATGTTGCAGTCGGTTTGGAGTGATATGTAGTCCAGGCCAAGTAAGGGTGGCAGATTTCCTTCTGGAAAGAGCATGAGTGAATTAGATGCCATTCAGTGTTTAAAGACTTACTGTCATCATCTTGCCATCCACTCCTGCAGTGGTATAAAAGTTTAACTACCCATGTACAGTTCAGCTACCTGCACACATCGTTCATGTGTGACACTATAGCAATAAATCAGCTTTTTATGGGATGGAAAATCCACATTGTGATAATTTAGCTGTATCAAGCTTGGTGAATGCAGATGCTACAATTAATCTCAGCACTTTGGATCAATGAGGGGAAATGTCTAATTCTGGTTATTATTCAGTGATCTGTATAGGAAGATTGTACGTGTGCATTTGTCATCGTTGAAGACAAGATCAGATTTTTGCATGATCCCATTCAATTCCCAAAACTTATAAATATTCAAGGAAAGGCACCATTTGAACAGTAACGATATTGAAAATACACATGATCAGTATCCAACTGTGAGAGCTTTTCTCTATGGGTGCTATTTTCTCAACTGTAAACTTGCAACAATTTTGTTATTGTTAGTCAGGCTATTTTATTGTCTAAGGAATTGTCACCTGGGTGAAGTACTGATGTTTGGAGAAGGATTTTGTAGCTTTCCATTTCAGTAAAATGGATATAAACTTAATTGTTCTGTGTCAGTTGGACCTTAGTGCAGTATTCTGACGGACTGGTGCATTGCTGCCATTCAAATGAGATATTGAACTGTTCTTGGTGGATGTACAAGATTCAGACACTTTTGAAAAAGAGCACAGAAGTTGTTTTGAGATAACAAGGTGTAGAGCTGGATGAACACAGCAGGCCAAGCAGCATCAGAGGAGCAGGAAAGCTGACGTTTCGGGCCTGGATCCTTCAGTTATTCTATTTTGGCAAAAATGCTTGAGAGCCATTGATTAACTAATTATTTTCTTTCTTTGGCATTTTGGCTGCCATATTCCTCCACAGAACAACAATTATATATTGCCGTATGTTACTCTATTTGGGAGTTTACTGTCTACAAATTAGCTGTTACAACACTATTCCCATTCCTACACTTCCAAAGGACTTAACTGGCTTAAAATTCTTTGGAACAACCTAATAATGCGCACTTTCTATAGAAATGTAAATTGTTTTGCCTCTTGACAAAAGTTAATTCCATTCTTTTCATGTAATATTTCATCCCATTAGGTATCGACATGAATTCAAGTCAAATGAACTGTGGACTGAGATTAAACTGGTGTTAGACACTTTTGCAGAACCCCTCACTGCACTTTTTAAAGTATGTGGTACTGCTAACTTAACTTCGTAACACGATTTTAAAATTTCTGCATGATATTCATACCTCACTGATTATTTCAGTTTTGAGATAATGTAGATTGTAATTTGAAAATTGCTTCAATGTACTTGTTTTCCGCCATAATTGAAGTGCATAATTTTTGCAGACTACAATTGAACTGTGCCATACACATGCCAAGGATGTCAACGTATTGAAGGTTCTCTTCTCTTCTCTCGTTTTGATTGCTAAGCTGTTCTATAGCTTAAATTTCCAAGTAAGTATTTAGTGGTGTGGATTTCATTTTGTGATGTGCATTTATGCAGATTTGCAGGTAATAATTTGTTTTGTACTCTGCAGGATTTGCCAGAGTTTTTTGAAGATAACATGGAAACATGGATGATGAACTTTCATAGTTTACTCACTTTGGACAATAAGTTGCTACAAACTAATGTAAGTGGCAGGTCTGTGAAAGCATTGATGCTGTTTGCAATGTTTATATATACAATTCCTTCCTGATGCTCTTCACATCCAACTTCTTAAAAGTTTGGCTGGGGGAGGCAAGGAACGTTGAGGAGTAGACTTGGGCTGGATTTGTCACACGTGCAAAAGTATAATGCTGCGATAAAAGTTGCACTTTCCAACGTTTCAGTTAAGTCACCCTTTGACCATTCTTTCCTTTCTCTGATTGTCTTTGAGCGTTCAGCTGCTGGTTCCACGTTGGAAGGGATGTTGCAACATGAAACTTCATTATTCATTCAGAATTCAAATGAGAATTCTGTCTACTAAAGCGTATCAAAAAACACCCTAGGAATTGTGTTTTGTTTGAAAGTTTATCCAATTCTTGAAGCATTTTTTAAAGCAAGTATAGGAGAAATTAAAATATGCATATTTTCTATATTTTGTCATAACACTGTAGTCACCTGTGCTTTTGTACAAAAACATTTCAAGCTCATTGCTTTGAACATTAAATTTTATCCAAGTTGCTATTCTAAATGAATTTAAATAATTCTTTAAATTAATTTCTTGCAGGATGAAGAAGAGGCTGGTTTGTTGGAACTGCTGAAGTCCCAAATATGTGATAATGCTGCTCTCTATGCTCAGAAATATGATGAAGAGTTCCAGCCCTATCTACCTCAATTTGTCACAGCTATTTGGAATCTACTAGTCACAACCAAGCAGGAGGTTAAATATGACTTGGTAGGTTTTGTTATTATAAAAAATATAAGCAATCTATTAGAAATGTATTATTTGGGAAATTTTTCAGAAGTTGAAGTCTTTAGCTATTTTTGCACTTCACCTTATTGCTCTTGTGGCTCACTTTTAGAATTAAGCTTTGACTATCTACCTGTCAGGTGCACCTTCTTTCTCTTTAGTTTTTGCTTCATGAGCTTTTGATCTCAACCACATGATTTTCTCCTGCACAGAGACAGACCCGACTGTGTTCGGTACCTGTATACTTGGAGTGTTTTCTTTCATCTGTTCGTGGCTAACTGTAAAACAGTCCTGTCACATATTTGGGAACAGGTTGCCTCAACGTATTACAGTTGCAGTTTAGAATGTGATAACTTGAAAACAAAAGTGTAATCATTTTGTTATGTGCTGGAGTAGTATTTAGAAGTGATAGAACCGAACATTTTCACAAGTAACAAAATTCCCTTCGCATGTTCAAGCATTGTGAAATCTAGAGAAATAGTCAACTCTGTTGTTAATGAAATTTGAAACTCATTTGAAGTTTAAAAATATCAAATTGCCTTAAAAACCCATGTGCTTCATTTGTGTCTTTGGGGAGGAAATCTGCCATCCTTAGCTTGCCTGTCCTATTCATTACTCTAGATCAGCAGGTGTGTGATTGACTTGCCAGCCCTGTAAAACAACATGCCAAACAACTCCGTTGCAACCAACAGCTAAGGAAGGAAGAACTTTGTGTACCTCTTTTATTTTACCCCTTTGGGGTGTAGGGGTGTCTACGATACTATTATGAAGAGAATTCCAGGAAGCTCACCCTGTACCAGTGAAAGAACAGCAATACACCTCCAAGGGGTGGTGTGTAGCCTGATGGAAAAATACAGGCTTGGTGTTTCTGTGCTTCTGCCCCAGTCTTTTGAAATGGAAGGTCACAGGTTTGGAAGGTGCTGTTGAAGGAGTCGTAGCATCTTGCATGTGGTGCATGTTCTTCCACTGTGTTGGTGGTGGAGGGGAGTACCTGTTGAAGATGGTGTGTAGGGTGCCAATCATGTAGCTGTTTTGTCCTGGATGTTTTCACGCTACTTGCATGACATTCTTGACTTGTGCCTTATAAATGATGGACAGGCTTTGAGAAGTCGATGGGTGAGTGCAAACCGTAGAATTCCCAGATTCCGATATGCTGTTTTAGCCAGTTTAGTCTCGGGTTAAAGGTGACCTCCAGGATGTTGTTAGCAGCAGACTCAGAAGCAGTAATGACATTGTCAGTTCTGGGTACTTGGTTAAATCCTCTCTCTCATTGGCGATGGTTGTTGTTTGGCATTCATGCAGTGTTCATGTTACTTGCCACTTACCTGCCCAGCCTGAATGTTGCCTCGGTCTTGCTGCAAACGGACACAAACCAAGGAGTCGCAAGGGGTGTGCAACATTGTACGGTTGCCAGTGCTTGACCCTATTCCTGACCTAATGGAGGTCATTGATGAAGCAGCTAATGACGGTTGACTCAAGGATGCTACCAGAGGAACTTTTGCACTGATGTTCAGGGGTTGGGATGATTGACTTCCAATGAATATGTTTTTCCTTTGTTACATATGACTCCAACCAATTGAACGATTTCCCACAATTCCCATTGATTTCTGTTTTGCCGGCACTTCTTAATATCATATGGTTCGTCTGAAGCTGATCAAAAAGTGGTCATCAAACAGTTTATTTCTTAGTTCAGAATCCATTGGCTCTGGTGTCTTTTTTATGTGTTCCAGCAAAATGTATCATCATATATGCAACTCACAATGTGCTCCAACAAAAGTGATTTTTAAAACAGCAGCTATCTCCTTTAACATTTGCCTTGGTTTATAAAAATGTCTTATGTTTTTGGGTCACAGTTCAAAAGTACAGGTAAAAGAAATAAAGATGTGGTCCTTCCATAAAGCACTAACTTAAGAAGGTGTGTTATTCATCTCTGTCTACAGTTGTTTTCTTTAATCTGGCAATTGCGTCTAAATTAACAAAAGCCTAAGTTTTTATCTCCTAAGGCAAGGTACTGTGGCAAAATACATTTTAAGACAAGTAGGAGAGACACCTGATTCGTTTTATTTTGGCCTGAATACAATGTTGATCTGATCCTGCAAATGTTGAGTCACTGTATAGACCTTGAAGACAACGGCTCTTCACCATAAAATACTTGTTTCCCCATCATCTTAAATAGTGTGCACTTTTTTTTTTAATGTTAAATTCCATCTCTCAAAGCTTAATTCTGAAAGAAATGAGTGTTGAAATATATAGTTAATCAACATCTTTAGATCATCACCTATCTTTAGCTCTCCCTTCAGTTTTAGGGGGAAAAAAACTTGTTTTAAGATGCATACAAGATATCCCAGCAAGGCACATCATTGGAATATGAGTGACTGTGCAAATCTGAAATAAACTTAACTTTGCATAAGTTGAATGCTATTTACTTTTTTAAAGCAAAATTTACGAAGAATCTTTGACAGAGGAAATGCCTCTCGTCCTTGCCCCAAAATCTGTCTTCATTTTTTATTCCACCAAGTAAAGTCTAATCTTTACTCTCCTTGTCTTTTTAGCTGGTAAGCAATGCTATTCAGTTCCTGGCATCTGTCTGTGAGAGACCACACTACAAACATTTGTTTGAAGATCAGAATACATTAACCAGTATTTGTGAAAAGGTTATTGTTCCTAACATGGAATTCAGAGGTAATTAACATCAGAGAAATTTATACTATCAAATACAAAGCATAATTGTTTGTGATGGTTCCAGTGAAACTATTGAAAATGCTGATGAGTTGTTGAGAAAAAGATTTGTTGGATAGCATTCATTGTTTAATGGCTTGGTGACAGTCATTAATTAGACAGAATAATACATAAACATGACCTGGGGCCTCCAGGCTTGCAGGAGAGAAAGTTGAAATTAAACAAGTTTATCTGTAATAACTTTGGCAATAATGTACTACGTTGTTTTCAGGAAATTGTGGCAATTCATAAAATGACCTGAATTGTAACTTCAAAAAAAATGTGGAATTGATTATGTTATGTTTGGAAATGTGATTGATTGAATGAGTAGCTTTGTGTGCTGTTCACTGAATTGAGAGCTATCAAATAAAGAAATCCTCTTCATGTTTACCAGCAGCATAATGTTGGTGTTATTATTTTTAGCTGCTGACGAAGAAGCATTTGAAGATAACTCTGAAGAGTACATCAGGAGAGATTTGGAGGGATCAGGTAGTTTTATGGTTCTTACCCTTATGAATGGATGTGGCTTTAAGCCAAAATGTTTCTATCCGCATTGTTGCTTTTCTGGCATTTGCTCAAAATTGCAATAAATTGCTGAGAGTGCCAACACAGTGGCTAGCACTGCTGCCTCTCAGCACCAGGGACCTAAGTTTCATTCCAGCCTTGAGTGACTGTGTTGAGTTTGCATGTTTTCCGTATGTCTGTGTAGACTTCCTCTGGGTGCTACTGTTTCCTTCCACCATCCAAAGATATGCAGGATAGGTTAATTAGCAATGGTAAATGTGGGGTCGTAGGGATTGGGTGGGTGGGGTGTGTGTGATGCTCTTCAGAGAGTTGGTGCTGACTTGATGGGCTGAATGGCCTCTATCTGCACTGCAGGGATTCTATGATTCTCTATGAATGCCCAATCCACAAAAATGTAGGACAAACCTAATCCAAACACTTATCACCTCACCGGCTTCCTACTAATAATCTAAAATTATACAACTCACTGATAATTCCGTTGAGCAACATGAGCTAGCCAAGAATGTTCTGATTTCATCACAGCCGTAGTGCAGACATGGACTCAAGCTGAATAACTTTTGCAACAAAGAAATATTTGACCTCATGTGGTGGTGATGGAATCTAACAAGTTTAAAAATAATGGAGGAATCTTGAATGGCCTAACAGGAATAAAAAGCTAGGCAAATGCTGACTTTGAAACCCCAGTTGATATTCATTGAAACTCCGCTAATTCACTAATATCCTTTAGGGAAAGAAATCTGCTGTCCTTCCTAGTCTGACCTAAAAATGCTTTGGGGCAATTAGGGATGTGCAATCTTTACCACCAACCGAGAAAACTGGCATGATTATAGACATACCACTAGTTCCAGGGAGAACTTCCATTGGGCAGATTAATTATCCCTGCATTGCTGCTGATGTAAAATTGTGGAAGTCTTCATTGAACTCCATAATAAGTCCGCTATCAGAATAAGGTTTACAAATATTCAAGGCGGCCATCAGCACTTTTTCAGGAGAACCCAGAATATCAGTGACAATAGTCAGATATTATCATCTACCATCCAAGAACAATTTTGTTTTCAAGTCTAATATAATTTAGTGAAATTATTATCACGTGCTAGTTGATGCTTCCCGGAATTTCAAGTATCGGTAACACTTTTTCCTGTACCATTTTTGCGCTGATGTTAGCTGCAGTTACATTTACTGGCGGAATGCTTTAGTTAGATTTCATTTGCTACAAAAATATTCACCTGAATGAAGACATGGTGCAAAGTAGAAATCTATTTCTTGAAGGAGCTACATTAGGTTAATTGTTGAAACTCTTAAACCTTGAAATTGCTTAAAAGGAAAGCAGTCGTTCAATTCTAGCTTTGTGATACTCATTATCGAGACATTTTATTTCTATGTATTTTAAGTTGAGCATTTCATCAGCTGCAAGATGGTCTTGATTTCTTTCTTTCCACCAACCTATTCCAAAAAACGATATCATTGCCTCTGGTTTATTAACATTTTTTTCACAGACATTGACACCAGGCGAAGGGCAGCTTGTGATTTGGTGCGAGGTCTTTGCAAATATTTTGAAGGACCTGTAACAGCAATATTCTCTGGCTATGTCAATTCTATGCTGCAGCAGTATGCCAAAAATCCTGCCATTAATTGGAAACACAAAGATGCTGCAATTTATCTTGTGACGTCACTTGCCTCCAAAGCTCAAACTCAAAAGGTACTGCTTGTGTATCCTACTGAAACATTTGTTTTCTTCTGTCATGCTTTGTATGGTAAATGATGTTTTTTTTTTAATTTCAGCATGGAATAACTCAAGCAAATGAATTAGTAAATTTAACAGACTTCTTTGTTAATCATATACTGTCTGATTTGAAGTCACCAAATGGTGAGTTAACATATTGCGTCACTAATTTGATTTTATAGCTGAAGTGTAATGGTTTTACAAATAAAACCACGAAAGAAAGCTGTCACCTGAACTTGTAAATTACTGGATGGTGCAAATAAATGCAAAACCCTAACTGTATAATGTTTGAAATCTCCAGTTTAACAGATGTTATGTCGTCCTTCAGTTCCTATGTTCTCTAACTCATCATAGTCATGCGGTGTCTGTAGGAATGTATTTATGGAGTGCATTTAAATTTTTTGTGGCATAGGCATTGTAGTCTAGCTTTAGCACTTGACATCCATGATAATATACCTGATCTGTGTGCTTTGAATTCTGTTTACAGTGAATGAATTTCCTGTGCTGAAAGCAGACGGTATTAAATACGTTATGATTTTCAGGAATCAGGCAAGGACACTTAAAGTTTTGCACTTGATATACTTTCAGATTATCTGGCTGCTGTAAAAATGTTTTGTTAAAAGAGTAAAGTCTGTAATTGTGAAACAATTGCCATTCACACAATTGTTACCAGATATGTAACAGTGTACTAAGTTGAAATTTAGTACATCGATGTATCTTCTAGATTCTGAGACATTTCCAGCATGGAAAGAGGTCACTTGACCCACCATGTGTGCACTGGTCAACAAAGGTCTGACTACATTAATCCCATTTTTTAGCTTTTCAACTATAGCCTGGGAGGCTCTCGCAGTTCAAGTGAATATCTAAATATTTGTTAAATGTTACCAGAAGTTCTGACTCAACCATCCTTTCAGGCCGTGAATTCTAGACTCCCACCTCCTTTCAGTCAAAAAAATTCTGAACTCTCTCTTCTTAGCTTGTACCTTAAATCTGTACTCTCCAGTGATTTGCTGTACTAATTGAAGTGCTTTCTGATTCACCCTGTCTCTGTCCCTCATAATCATATACACCTCTATCAGATTCTGTCTCTGCCTTCACTATTCCAAGGAAAACAGTCAAGCCTATCTAATCTTTCTTCGTAGCCAAGATCCTCAAACCAAGCATCACCCTTTCTAGGACAGTTACATCCTTCCTTTAATGTGGTGGCCGTAGCAACATGTAGTACTCCAGTTGTGGCCTAACCAGCGTTATGTACAGCCACAAAATAACCCCTTTGGTCTTGTATTCTGTGCCTCTGATAACAAAAGCAAGAATCTCCTATGCCTTTTTTTAAACTACTTGTCCTGCTACTCTCTCTGGTCTTCATTACTTTCCAGGGTCCTACCCATCATAGTTCGATTCCTTCAAAGATAGTAGGAACTGCAGATGCTGTAGAATCTGAGATAACAAGGTGTAGAGCTGGATGAACACAGCAGGCCAAGCAGCATCAGAGGAGATAAGGTGTAGAGCTGGATGAACATTTCTGAAGAAGGGTCTAGGCCCGAAATGTCAGCCTTCCTGCTCCTCTGATGCTGCTTGGCCTGCTGTGTTCATCCAGCTCTACACCTTGTTATCTATAGTTCAGTTCCTTGCCATGTTAGCCCCTTACATCGCTTTTCTGGGTTATCTCTGGTATAGTGGCAGTGTGGGGTATGGTGAGGTAGAGGCCACCTGAAGTCTGCTTCGGCAGAAAGGGGTGGAGTGATAGAAGTCCAGTCTAACAGAGAGGATGTCCTTTAGTAGAGGGAGTGGGGGTGAGTCGGAACAGGGTCTGGGGGAAATGCACTTGAGGCTATATGAGATAACTATGGGGTCTGTTGAATACAGAGAAGTTAGATTATGCATTTAATAGTCTAACTTCTCCTAGTAACTATTTAACTTAAATTCATCGGAACACTCTGAATTCACTAATTTCGTTGGAGACTTCTGAAGAGTTCCAGGCAGGCCCCGTGGGATTTTTAATTTCTCCAGGCAATTCCTTCAGAGTCTGGTATGATGAGGATTCTGCAGAGTCCCCATCTACGCTGGAATAACTGCATGACCAGTGGAAAGTCTAAGCTGTGAGTTCAAGAAGTGACCGCATCTTTGTTGGGCTTTCTGCATAAAGACTGAAAAGTTCTCGATGCAATTTAAGAGCTTTGTTCTGTCCCTCCCTTGCACGCTAAAACAACCCAAGTTAATGTTTGGATAGTTAAAATCCCCTACTATTGCTGCCTTATTATTTCTTTACACTTGTCTGAAATTTGATTACATATTTGATCCTGTATCCCTCTCTGACTATTTGAGGCCCTTCAGTACAAACCCAACAGCGTGTTTGCCCCGTATGACCTCATTTTCTAATCCTGTTCACCCACCCTCTTCAGAATGCCCTGCAGCTGTTCCATGATATCCTTATTATAAAAACAGAAAATTATGGAGAAGTCCATAATGTCTGTCCCCATACAGTGAGAAAAAGAGAGCTAATGTTTTGAGTTCAGTATAACATTTCATCAGAACTGCTTGACATTCTTGACCCGAGCACCTGAAAGGCAGTACACAATCCTGGAGTCATGTCTCTGGCTGCAAAAGAACTTGTCTATTCTCCTCACTAAGGAATCCCCTCCTGTTATTGCTGTTGTACAATTCTTCCTCCTCTTTCAAGAAGCAGGGTCACCACAGTGCCATGGCATTAATTCTGGCTGATCTCCACAGAGAAGCCACAACCCATTTTCCAAGGCTAAGAAACAGTTTGCAAGCGAGGTGCACTCAGGATTTCCTCCCTACCTCCCTGGTCATGATTTTAAATCTTTTAAATTTGTTTTGGCATTTTTGAAGTATTTTTCATCCTCTGTCATAATCTTTTCTGTACGTGTTAATTTAAAACTTGCATTTACAGCTTCCGAAGGAACAGCTTTTGATGTCCCTCCCACTGTTAATTAACCACTTACAAGCAGAAAACATTGTTGTTCACACATATGCAGCCCATGCTCTTGAAAGGATATTCACTATGAGAGGACCCAACAATACCACTCTGTAAGTATTTCTTGCCTGTCTTTCAATTTAGTGTCAAAAATAGAAATTGTTGGAAAAGCTCAGCAGGTCTGGCAGCATCTGTGGAGAGAAATCAGAGTTTCAGTTCAGGTCAAGTGACTCTTTCTCTATTTTTGTCTCTGATTTACAGCATCCACAGTTTTTTTTTTTTTGTTTTTTTTTCATTTCAATTTAGTGTCCTGTCTTAATTATTAATAATACATAGTTATTCAGTAGGCCAGATGCTGAAAGGTATCGGATATTTAAGGGAATTTTTTGTTTATTTTCAGAATATCTGCTGTGGAGCTCGCCCCTATGGTTGAACAGCTGTTAACAAATCTTTTCAAAGCTCTCACTTTGCCAGGGTCTTCTGAAAATGAATATGTCATGAAAGGTGAGAATGTTTTATCAGTGGGTTATTGGTTGACTAGCTTTAGATCCTTCGTTACACGACATTAAGACAATATATTTGTGAGCAAAGTTTTGCTTTTCCATATCAAAGGAAGTACTTACAAATCAAATGAACCTATTTTGATGAAGTAAGTTTGATTGAGCATCTCTTAAAGTCAAATCCATATTCCTGTTATAATTCACCACCTTTAATATCTTTACAAGCTAAACAATGTTATTACTGTAAATGTCCTTTGTAAGGCATTCAAAACCACCTCCAAATTCAGCACCATTTGCGACTGAATGGTGAAGATACTGAAGCAGTTCATATTCAAATGCAACAAGATTTGGACAATATCCACCCTTGGGTTGACAAGTGGCAAGTAACATTTGTGCCACTCAAATGCTAAGCTATGACCATCACCAACAAGAGACAATCTAACCACCAATCCATGGCATTCAACAGCATTGCCATCACTGTTTTCCCCCACTATCAACATCCTGGGGGGGTTACCATTGATGAGAAACTCCACTGGACTCACTACGTCAACACAGTGGCTTCAAAAGCAGGCCAGAAGCTATGAACATTGCGGCGAGTAACTCACCACCTGTCTCCTCTGAGCCTGTCCGCCATGTACAAGGCACAAGTCAGGAGTGTGATAGAATACTCCTCACTTGCCTGGATGAGTGCAGCCCCAACAACACTCGAAGCTTGACACCATGCAGGACACAGCAGCCCACTCGATTGGCTCTATATCCATAAGCATCCACTCCCTTCACCACGAATGCTCAGTAGCAGCAGTGTGTACTGTCTACAAGATGCACTGCAGAAGTTCACCAAAGATCCTCAGACAGCACTTTCCAAACCCACGACCATTTCCACCTAGAAGGAGAAGGACAGCAGATATGTCGGAACCACCTTCAAGTTCTCCTCCAAGCTGCTCACCATCCTGATTTGGAAACATATCGCCATTCCTTCACTGTTGTTGTGTCAAAATGCTGGAATCCCCTCCCTAATGGCATTGGGGGTCAACCCATAGCAGGCAGACCACAGCAGTTCAAGAAAGCTGTTCACCACCACCTTCTCAAGGGCAACTAGAGAGGGGCAATAAATGCTGGCCAGCCAGCAACACCCATGCACCACAAATCAATTTTAAAAAACTTACAACATCTATCTGACCACTGGCTGAAGGTATAGTACCACTTGACATGTGAACTAATTTCTCCTGAATGATAATGTCCTTGTTTTCCCATACATCTTATTTCCTTATTCAAGATTTTACATCCATTTCACTAGAGTAAGATGCAGTATTTCCGGAGTTCCTTCACAGCATGCAACTTACTTTGACTTGGGAACCTAGTTGTAATAAAGAAAATGTATGCCTGAGATTCTCTGATCAACCTCTGCTTTCTTTTATAGATATGTAGTAACCATTTTCTGTTAAAAACCGAAAGAACTGTGGTTGCTGTAAACCAGGAACAAAAACAGAAGTTGCTGGAAAATCTCAGCAGGTCTGGCAGCATCTGTGGAGGAAAAAAGAGTTAACGTTTCGGATCCAGTAACCCTTCCTCCGAACTGATGGTAGCTGGACAAACGTCAGTTTATATGCAGAAAATAGGGAGGGGGGTGGGGTAGGGAGTAAGCGATAGGATAGAGCCTAAAGAGCCTAGTTTCCTAGCCAGACATTACCAACTCCTTTGTCTGTCAAACTGTTCTTCTCTCTCTTTTTTTAGGCTTTAGGAAGTTAGGTCAGGATGCCTGTTCGTCCATTTCACAAGACATGGATGCGTAGTTTGTGGCAAGAACATCTACTAAATGTGTTCTCTTTCTATTGACAGCCATTATGAGGAGTTTCTCCCTTCTCCAGGAAGCAATTGTTCCTTATGTTCCCACACTGATTACCCAGCTAACACAGAAGCTGTTACTAGTTAGCAAGGTGAAGTACCCAGTTACTAATTTCACATTGTTTGTTTACTTTCCATAAAGGTAAATGTGTGTTTTAAACCATCTCTTGAATTTTTTAAGTGGTCTAAGATGACATCAGTACTATTGTCATTCTATTTGTTTTATCTTAGTTTAAATTTTTTAAAGAAGCAGTTCACTGATAAGGTTACTGAATCACTGTTGCTGTTTTGCTGAATTAGTATCAATGTCGTCGAGTTATTATTTTGGATTCCGTCCTCGAAATGGACTTAATAATTTGCTGTAGCGCTGAACAAGTGATGCATTGTTTGAAGTTCCATCTTTTGGTTGAGATAATAAACCAAGGTCCTGTCAGTTCGCTCAGGTGAACATCATTAAAGATGCCTTGCCACATATTGAAGGAGAGCAGGTAGCTCGTTTTGGCTTCTAGTCAGTATTTTCTAGTCAATGAACATGAGCAAACAGACATTATCTACTCATTTGCTCGTTGGTTGGATTTAAATGTAAACAAAGAAGGAATTTGTATTCATGTATTGGTATATGAACATTGACTTGAATTTGATCTTTTTCTAGAACCCAAGCAAGCCACACTTCAACCATTATCTGTTTGAGTCTCTTTGCCTATCTGTACGTATAACATGCAAGGCAAACCCTGCCACTGTGAGAAGTTTTGAAGAGGCTCTCTTCCCAGTTTTCACAGAGATCTTGCAAAATGATGTGCAAGGTGAGCACAGTTCGAAATAATTTCACTCACTACACAGTGAAATCATTTTTGTCTTAGTGTTTTTGACCAAACTGAATTAAAATGGAGAGAAAAGCAGAGTGACAAGGATCAAAGGGTGATTGTATCTCATGTAAAAACTCATTAGTTAACTAGCTACAGGCTGCAAGATCATACCAAGAGCCACCTTGATTTGTATATCTGTCAGTCATTGTGGAAACTCACTCAACAAATCCAGAACCTGGCCAACAAGTGGTGAGAACAACCTTTTGTTTGTTATCAGTGATATGCCCTCCAAATATTTTGGTGTTAAAAGCTACAGTGAGGTATTCTGCTACAGCATCCTGGTCTGTTGAGCTGAAGCATCTGTTTGACAAATAATGCCTGTGAGGTCAGGTGGAATGCAGCTTGAGGGTTGGGAAGGGGAAATGGTGAAAATAAGCTGACAGCGAGCGAAAAGATTTTAATAGTCTGCTGTGGTATATAATTTCTGCAGGATTTTGGCCCCATAAGGACTAAACATCACTCCCATTAGGAAACGTCTTTAAGGTCCCTTTACACCAGGGGGAAGTCAGACTGGCATGCATAGGCATTCTTCATCCATTTCTCCTTAAATGTTTCAGCCAAAGTTGTAAAATAGGTGTTAGACTTATTTAGTTAAAAGGTATCCTTCCTATTTGGTGGAACTCCCAAAAGATAATTCAGGCAATCAAATGGGGACACAGGGTTTTCATCAGATTTTGTTTATTCAGGTGTGACGCAGATCAGTACTCATTGAAGGCATTAGAGGAAATTTTCAAACAACTTAAATGTCAGGTCTTTATACACTTCAATACTGACACTTTTCTTTTGTCTTTCTGTTTTCTCTATTTTAGAATTTCTTCCTTATGTGTTTCAAGTGATGTCGCTGCTCCTAGAAATATACAGTGCTGATATTTCTCCATGTTACATGGCTCTCTTCCCACACCTGTTACAGCCGTTGCTTTGGGAACGTGTAGGGAACATTCCACCTCTTGTCCGATTACTTCAGGCTTTTCTGGAGAAAGGAGCAAATTCCATTTCTACAACTGCAGCTGACAAAATTGTACGTGTAAATATTTTTAAAATTACCATTATTTAATCAGCTTTTATCTGATTTAGGAAATAGTTGATACTTGGGAGAATCAAAAGTGTCACCTTGAAATGTACAATCATTTTGAAAGTTTTAGGAATCCATAAAGATCTATGGCCTAAGATCTAAGTCTCAACTCCAGCAAAAGTGTAAAATTGCAAAATCCAAATCAGATGAGGATTGTTATACACTGTAATTTTAATGTCACCAATTTTACTCTTCTGCCAGAGTTGTCAGTAAACCTACACTGTTAAGTTTTTATAACCATTTGCAATACATCAGGATCTAGGTGCTGCTGCTAAATGAACCTGCTCTATTGTGAATCATCTTTTGCTTTTTGATTGCTATCCTCTTCACCAGGGCAGCAAATGCTACTTCATCTTGGGAAAATGTTTTTATTTTTGGAGACATATATTTTCGTTTTGCTTTGATGTTTAGTAGTTAGTACAGACTGCAGAATATCAGTCCAACTTTTTTTTTTCTTTCCAACCCTGTGCTATTTCAATATTAGATTAGATATTTGACATACCTTATTTATATGTTTATTTAAGTTGTTGTGACATTTAAGGGATAATTTATAACTTCAGTTATAGTCATATTGTTTCAAGGGTTCACTATGGTTGCCAATGCTTGCTTCAGTAATAAGATCATGGCAACAGGATTTTAAGCCTATTCTTGTATTTTCTAGAAAAAAATAATGTGATCAAAACTAAATTTACTATCTTTTAATTTTGATAGGACTTCATTTATTTTGACAATTTTGAAGAAAGCATAAGGTACCATGCTGGCACTCTGGTTAAATATATTTGTTCCGCCCTTTGTTTCTGTTCAAGATTGAGAAGTTTCCAATATGATAATAACTGCCAAGTGGTAATTTTATGTCAAGATCACTGTGCAGTTTTAAGTTTTAATTTTGTTTTCAGCTTCCAGTCCTTTCTGTCTCCTCCCCAACCAAATGTCCTGCTCTTGCACACACATGAAGATTCCCTGAAAAAGGGTCCCGACCGGAAATGTCAGCTTTCCTGCTCCTCTGATGCTGCCTGGCCTGCTGTGTTCCTCCAGCTCCACACTGTGTTATCTCTGACTCCAGCATTGGCAGTTCTTACTATCTCTCGTGAAGATTTTTGTTTACTTTCTACTCCCTTTGGGATGTGCATTATTACTTTTTAACAGCATGTTAATTTATAATGATATTGCAGGTTTAAGTGTATGCTTGTGGCTTGTGATAAGGTCACAAGAAATAGGGACAGAAGTAAACCATTTGACCTTTGAGTCTGCTCCATTATTCGCGATCATTATGCTGGCCTTCCGCCTCTCATTACCCATAATCAGGATTGTGATGGGATACTTTGCACTCGCATAAATTAATGCAGCTCTAACAATGTTTGAGAAGCCTGACACCATCCAGAACAAGGATGCCAATTTAATTTCCACCACATTGACAAACATTCACTGTCTCCTTCACCAATAATCAATTACAGCAGTGTGTAGCATCTACAAGATGCACTGCAGAAGTTCACCAAAGCTCCTTCAACAGCACTTTCCAAACCCACAACCATTACCATCTGGAAGAACAAAGTCAGCAGATGCGTGACAATACCATCACCTGCAATTTCCCCTCCGAGGCATTCACCATCTTGACTTGGAAATATATCACTGTTTCTTCAGTGTTGCTGAGTAAAAATCCTGGAACTCGCTCCTTATTGGCAATATGGGTCTGCCTAAAACAAATGGACTACAGCGGTTCAAGAAGGACAATTAGTGATGGCAAATAAATGCTGGCTGAGCCAACATCACCCACGACCCATGAATGAACTAAAAGAAAAGACCTTGATTTCGCCATCCAAATTTCTATTGCACTTCATCTTGAAAGCATTCCACAACTGATCCTCCTCAGCCCTCTGGAATAGCCAGAATTATTCAACCCTTGGAGTGAAGACATTTTCTTTTCCTCTTAGTCCTAAATAGTTGACCCCTTAGTCTGAGATGAACACAAGTTCTAGACACCCCATGTTAAGTTCAAGTTAAGCACTATAGAATTTTGTATGTTTCATTGACATAACCTCTCATTCTTCGAGGGAACACCGGCTTAGTCTACTCAATCTCTTCTTGCAGAATAGTCCCTTCAGCTAGGTTATCAAGTCATGATCCCCAATCATCTAGTGAACATTGGTTGTATTCCTCTATCAATCAGTCCATTTGCTGACCATTCAGCACTCTCCTCTGAGTTTAAATGTTAGTTTCCCCCGTTACTGGTATTCTTGAGAACTGATCTGATGAATGCAAGATGAAAGACTTTGACAAAATGTGTCATTTTCTAAACATTACCCAAATTCTGTACCACCAAATGACCAGCTTTAATCATGTTAAACTTTGATAGCAGAGTTGCATTCTAGCCAGCAAGTTTTAAAATTTATATAAAGCAGTGCTAAAAGCAATTCATGCATTTATTAAAGTTAAAAAAGAGAAATGCCTTGTTTAGTAACAATCATTGATATCAGACTGTGTTGGAGGAATCATGTATTCAGCAAATGGAAGGTTGTTGTAACACTAGATAAAATCATAAAACAGGGGTATTTGACCATTTTGAAACCAAGGAAGAAATACAAACATTTCATAAATTCTTGACTCCACTTGAGAATGTTAAAATGAGCATCTCTGAGGTGTTACATGACAAGCTGACAGTTGGGGAAGCAACAGTACTGTGTTGAGATAATAAGGTGTAGAGCTGGATGAACACAGCAGGCCAGGCAGCATCAGAGGAGCAGGAAAACTGACGTTTTGGGTCTGGACCCTTCTTCAGAAATGGGGGAGGAGAAGGTGACTGAAATAAATAGGGAGAGGGGGAGGTGATGAAGGTGGATAAAGGAGCGGATAGGTGGAGAGAAGACGGACAGGTCAAGGAGGCGGGGATGGAGCCGGTAAAGGTGAGTGTACGTAGGGAGTTGGGATGGGGGTTGGTCACTTGAGGGAAGACGGACAGGTCAAGGAGGCGGGGATGAGGCTGGTAGGTAGGAAGTGGGGGTGGTGGTTGGTCAGTGAGGTGGGAGGAACGGATAGGTGGGAGAAAAGATGGACAGGTCAAGGAGGCGGGGACGAGCTGGGCTGGTCCTGGGATGAGGTCGGGGATGGGGGAGATTTTGAAGCTTGTGAAGTCCACATTGAGACTATTGGGCTGCAGCGTTCCCAAGCGAAACAGGAGGTGCTGTTCCTGCAGCCTTCAGATGGCATTGTTGTGGACTGAGTTGGTCAGGCAAAGAATGAAGAGTTGAAATGATTAATTGCATCTGGACAGTTACAGTATCCATGCCCAGTATTGGTATCTGGTGGTAAGCAGGATGTTGAACCGGTACATTCATTGCCATCATTGTTCAGTCCTTTTGAGGAGAGGAGTTGGGATGTCATGTTGAGGTTGTACAGGACATTAGTGAGGCCTGTTGTGAAGTTCTGTGTGCAGCCCTGGTGACCCTGTTAGAGGAAGGATATTATTAAACTGGAGAGGGTTCAGCAAAGATTTACCAGGATATTGCTTGGAATGGAAGGTTTGAGATATAAAAATAGACAGGAAAGGCTGGGACTTTGTTCACTGGAGCATAGGAGGTTGAGTGCTGACCTTTTATGAGATTTTGTTTTAAACCATGAGGGCCATAGATAAGGTGAATGACAAGGGTCTTTTCCCCTAGAGTGGGGATTCAAAACTAGGGTGCATATTTTTAAGGTGAGAGGAGAAAGATTTTGACATGAGGGGAAACTTTTTTTGCACAGAATGGTTTGTCAGTTGAATGAACTGCCAGAGAAAGTGATGGACGAAGGTACAGTTACAATCTTTAAAAGACATTTGGATAAGTTCATGAATAGAAAAGGTTTTGAAGGATGTGGGCCAAGCGTAACAGATGGGACTAGTTTAGTTTGGGAACGTGGTTGGCATGAACTAGTTGGACCAAAGGGTCTGTTTCAGTGCTGTATGACACTGTGACTCTAAGAATATAGGTGTAGACTGAATTTTCCTGACTTGCTTTGTTTCTATCCTCATTATAGCCAGGATTGCTTGGAGTCTTCCAAAAGCTAATTGCATCTAAAGCCAATGACCATCAGGGCTTTTACCTGCTTAACAGCATAATTGAGCACATGCCACCGTAAGTATAGATCTACTTTGCACAGCGTTTTGGGAATCTGTAATTGAAGAATCTGTGCTCATGGATTGTTATTGTATTTTCTATCTCTCAGTGATGCCATGCATCAATATCGGAAGCAGATCTTCATTTTGCTTTTCCAGCGACTTCAAAATTCAAAAACAACCAAGTTTGTCAAAAGTAAGTTTTTTTTTTTTGTTTTTTTTTCTTCTTTTCCCTTTCTAAACAAGCACCTCATTAAAATTTTCCAAGATGATTTGATTTTTTTCCCCCCCACTGTTGAGCAAAGTGTCAAGCCACTTTGTTCTTCCAGCCAGGTGATTTCATGGTTGAGATCAGGAAATTCTCAAATAGGAAGAGATTAAACATGTTATTCACCCACTGACACTGTGAATTGGTTCTCCAGTATGATGTGGTTGGTGTATATTAGGGGGATCTTCAGTTTATTAATTGCTTGTTTTTTTTTTATTTTATACCTTAGGTTTCTTGGTGTTTGTGAATCTTTATGCTGTGAAATACGGAGCAATAGCATTGCAAGAAATCTTCGACAGTATACAACCAAAGTAGGTATATTGCAGATAAAATTTGAGAAATGAAATCTCCTCTTGCAGACATTTTTCTTGTTGTAGCTGTTGTACGGAACAGCTGCTATCAGTTCCTCTTAACCCAAATTGAAACACTTTTTTTCCACCCTCTCCTTAGCCTTGTATGCCTTTGCTTCACAATTGCCACATTACAGTCCTTTTTTTCCCACAGTAAAATGAACATGATGCATAACCTTTAATTTTTTTGCTTATTGAAACCGAGAAATGGCACCAACATTTACTGTAAGCTTACATATATCAGTGGCCAATTGGAAAAATATAGAAAATAAGAAATTGAGTCCATCAGTTATTAGCCACCAGAGACCACCTATAGTTGTTTCCCATTTCATTCTGCATTCAATTTAATCTCCAGAGAATTGTTTTATTAAAATTATTGCTCACCACCCCCGAAAATTGTCTTTCATTTTTGTTTTTGATTGGTACCCCATGTATTATCATCCATTTTAATGATAGAATATTAAAGCACAAAAGCAAGACTATTTAGCCCAGCACATTTATGTGTGTTTCTCTCCTTCCTGCTTCCAATTTCATGTATTTCTCTACCAGAAAAAGAACGGTAAATCTAATCTCTTCAATTACTGCCCATAGCCTACTCTGATTCATCAGAGTTATGGAATGAGTCGTTGATGGTCATATCCAGTGCCACTTAATAATAACATGGTCACTGATGCTTAGTTTTGGTTTCACCAGGACCATTTGGCTCCAGATTTCATTACAGAATTGGGCTAAAAAAATAGAAGAGCTGAATTCTGTAGGTGAGGTGAGGGTGACTATCAAAGAGCCCTACTGTAATTGAAATCATTGCACCTCAGGAAAAACCTGTACTGGCTAGACTCTTGTCGAGCACATTGCAAAATGGTTGTGTTTATTGGAGTACCTAACGGCAATTTCCTATATAAACTCTCATCAGCTGCTGCATTGATGACTTTCCTTTGAACAGAGTGTCAAATTTCTAATGTTTTTTGATAACTGCTTTGAGTGTTCAATTCCACTTGTCACTTCTTAGTTTACGAAACGGTCCTTGCTCCCATGCAGCAAAAATTGGACGGATTCTAGCTTAAACATATAAATAGCAAGTTAATTTGCACCACAAAAGTGCTAGGCAATGACTGTCTTGAATAAGAGCCTGACTGCTTTCCCTTGATATTAAATGGCATTATCATCACTGTATTCCCCATTAAAAATTATTTCATCGTCTTCGACTAGAAACTTAACTCGACCATATTATGGCTTCAAGAATATGACTGGGTATTTGGCAGTGGATGACATCTCCTGACTCTTGAAAGCTTTTCTGCAATCTACAAGGCTTACATTAGAAATGTGATGAAGCACTTCTCACTTGCCTAAGTGACTAGAGGTCTAACAGTACACAAGAATTGGACACCACTCCCTAAACCTACAACTGCATCGTGTAAAAGGATGCCAGCAGACAGTTGGGCATACCATTGCCTAAAAGTCATGGATCATTTTGTCTTGGAAATCTATCACTGTTGAGTCAGCATCCTACAATTCAGTATCTTGGATTGATTTCAGTACACTGGTAGCAGCAGCTCAAATGAGAGCGCTCAGCACCACTGTGTCAGAGGCATTTATGGGTGACCTATAAAAGCAGACCTTGCTAGCAACATCCACATCCTTTGGATGAATAAAAATTGTTTGCATGCTTTTCCAAATATAATGTTCACATACAAATTTTGAGAAATAATATCACACTACATAAATGTGTTTCTTCTAAGTTGACCCCTCTTCCTCTTGTATATTTTATTCTTAACTGACATGCAGTTGTTTTGTTGCAGAATGTTTGGTATGGTTTTGGAGAAAATTGTTATTCCAGAGGTTCAGAAGGTGTCTGGACAAATTGAGAAAAAGATTTGTGCAGTGGGAATTACGAAGATCCTAACAGAATGCCCTTCTATGATGGACACTGACTATACTAAGCTGTGGTAAGTTGACACGTCTTTTTATGGAATGAGAATTTGTTTTGTTTAGAATCTACGGTCTCTACAACACTTCGGGGAGCAGAGTAAGTTTAGACCTCGGCTCCTTCAAAGTTGGCATAGTCTTGGTGGTCTTCCTGAAACTGAAGTGTCCCTTACATGATTTTTTTAGAAAACATTCTTTCAGGAAAGGTGATCATTGCTGGCAAAACCAGAATTTGATATTAATGTCTAATTGCCTTTGAGAAAGTGTTGATGAGCCACCTTTTTGAACCACTGCTGCCCTTCTGGTATAGGTACATCTACAGTGCTGTTGGGGAGTTCCAGGATTATGACCCAATGACAGTGAAGGAATAGCTTTTATAGTTCCAAATCAGGGTGGTGTGTTGCTGGGGGGGGATTCTTGCAGGTGATGGTATTCTATGCATCTGCTGTCCTTGTACTACTTGGTGGTAGAGTTTGCAGGTGGCAGCCAAATGGAGAATATTCCATCATGCTCCTGACTTGTGAAGTAAGTGGCCTGTGCATTTATTATTTGGCAGTTGATTAATTTGGAAAGGGAGATGGTAATGCAACAAATTCTTAACTAGATGACTCACAAGAAACCCCATCTGTTGAATGATGCAGATCCTTTGTGCATTGATTTCGGATAAAATAAAGTGTAATTGGAAATACTAAACTTTTTTAACGTCTTTAACTGGGGACTAATTTCCATTTTAGAATTAATATCCATTATCCATTTTACGTTGCATCCATGCATCTCTCCTAATTTAATGCTGTAAGCTCAAGACTGTGGACTAATCTCAAGTGGCTGAAATTTTGATGAACCTGTCAAACTTTGCCATCTCTGAACCCGAAACATCAGCTTTCCTGCTCCTCTAATGCTGTCTGGCCTGCTGTGTTCCTCCAGCTCCACACTGTGTATTCTTTGCAACCTTGTTTTATTTAATGTGAAATGCAATTGAATGATAGTGCAGACTTTTTTATTGTAATTCCCCAGCACTTGCAATGTTGGGGGTGCAGGATGAAGCAATATACTATTATACTATATCCTTTTTTTATTCTAAGAATTTTCCTTTTCAGGTTCTGAAAATAATGTGTAGTTAATGACTGTTTAATTCATCATTAATTATCAGTAATGCTTTAACCAAATGTTGATTGTGTTTATTCTCCCAATCCATTCTCTTGGAACAGGACTCCTTTGCTCCAGGCTCTTATCGGATTATTTGAATTGCCTGAAGATGACAGCATTCCTGATGACGAACATTTCATTGATATTGAAGATGCACCAGGCTATCAGACAGCTTTCTCCCAGCTGGCATTTGCAGGAAAAAAAGAACACGATCCCGTCGGAGCAACAGTGAGCAATCCAAGAGTTCATCTGGCCCAATCCCTTCACAAGCTGTCCACAGCATGTCCAGGCAGGGTAGGTATTAGAATTGTACATTAAGGAAAACATGCATAAAATCAATTTAGACAGGACAGTGCTTTTCCAAGATATGAAAGAGGCTTTTGCTGTCATTCTGAGGCAGCAAAGCCACAAAATGGTTCCAAAGTTATTGGATGCCCAAGAACCTCACCATTTTGTTTCCCCCATGGAGAGTGTTACACCATTTTGTCATTTAAGTGATTTGGATGTCAATATAGGAGGAATGGGAAGTTTGCAGTTGTGAAACGTGAAAGTGTTCAGAAAAGATTTATAAGAATGTTGCTGGGGTTGGAGGGTTTGAGCTTAGGGAGAGGTTGAATAGGCTGGGGCTACTTCGCCTGGAGCGTCAGAGGCTGAGGGCTGACTTTATAGAAGTGTATAAAATCATGAGGGACGTGGAAACCGTGAATAGCCAAAGTATTTTTCCCAGGGTAGGGGAGTCCAAAACTACAGGGCGTAGATTTAAGGTGAGAGGGAAAAGATGCAAAAGATACCTATGGGGCAACTTTTTCACAGAGGGCAGTACATTTATCGAATGAGCTGCCAGAGGAAATGGTGGAGGCTGGTACAATTACAACATTTAAAAAGCATCTGGACGGGTACATGAAAAGGAAGGATTTAGGGAGATATGCACCAAATGCTGGCAAATGGGACTAAATTAATTTAGGATATCTGGTCGGCATGTAGGAGTTGAGCTGAGGGTTTGTTTCTGTGCTGTACAACTCTGTGACTGTATAACTATAAGTAAACTGCATCCCAGATAATTAGCATAAATAACCTGTCAGGAAATGACCAACTTCATGAAAGATTAGATTTGAACCTCACCAACACACTAAATAAATTCAATGCATACTCGGGCATTGTTGTATTTATATAAGAAAATTATTTGTAAAGTAGTTGTCCTTTTCACAGTTTTGCTTAATGAGTTTAAACTTTTAACAGGATGATAGATACTACTTTTCACTGGGTGTGTGGCTATGTAATGTCGGGTAAGAACTATGAAGAAATTGTATGTTTGAATGCTTGGGCTATCTTCACTTGTTACTGCAAGCCAACAACTGACTTGAATTTTCTGGCTTCACACTATACATATAAGGCAGATGGATAATCTGTATCAAATATGGTTAGTGTTAGCTTGACTTTATAGATTACTCTGAGCAAACATTTTTAATCACGTTTAACTGAATTGATTTCTAGAAATTAACCATAATGTTGCACACAGTTCAGTTCTCATTGTGCTGACCGCATGCAAAGGAATAATGTTTAGATTTGAAGAAAATGAAGGCCAAAGTTAGAGTCAAACAAGTTTGAAAATTATGTCTCTGGGCCATTGGTCACTTCACCAGTTGGCCTGATAGATTCACCAGTCAACAAAGGATGAAAGACCACAAAATTTCCAGTTCGAATTCACTGTCTGTACTTGGTTAGCTGGGATCAGGTGTTGTAATGGCATACTGTTTCAAGGCATAAAAGTCATTCATTAAGCTCAATTTAAGGAATGATTTTATTCTTTATTGTTGTTGCGCAGAAAATGCTGTCATTGTTTGAAACAAAGTTAATGTAATTGCTCCCTGAGATGAAAAAAATATAATCCAGTCAGAATAATGACGAGATTTGGATCCTGAGTAAAATAAACAGCATGAACTTTTAATGTACATCAACTGAAATTGATTTTATGTTAATTGATTTAATTACCCAAAATAAGATGATTAATGTAATACTTTTCTCCCACAGGTGCCGTCAATGATCAGCACAAGTTTGAATGCAGAGGCTTTACAATATCTGCAAAGTTATCTTCAGGCTGCAAGTGTGCAGCTGGTGTGAACCTGTTGGGTTGACTAGAGACATTCTTTAAAGGTTTTTTGCCATGTGTGCTTGCACAGTGAACATCATTTGATTGTGTACGCAGTAGGAATAAACCTGGAAGAGTAGTACCGGCTCGCAATGATTATGATGACTTCTGTCCAAATCATTTTGGTCCTGTGTAGGCTTACTGCTTGTGATCTCTTCCTATCCACCTTCTGCCTTTTATTTATGTTTTCTTATTCTGACTGCAAAACCTGAAATAATAAAGCACCCACAGATGCATTGCCGTGTACAGTTACTCTGGTGTAAAATAAAATAGATAATACTAGAATTTGACATTTGCTTCTTTCATTTTACACATTTCATATTTGTTGCACAGCAGTTCCTAATTTCCCAGTTGTGAACAGCAAGTTAATGACCAGTGTGTCCTTTGGTTGTACTATTCTGGACACCATGATATTACTTGCCATTGACCTACACAATGTACATCAATAATTACCTTTCAACCTTCTCTTTTCTGGTGTGAAAATATCCACCCTACACAATAGCTTATCATCATCATCTGAAATGCATAACTATGAGTTAATAAACAACAACATTAACTACTTGCAACTCCAGATTCAAGGATATAATCAGCGATAAGAGATGCTGAATATGCAGGTATTTTTTAATCAGTTATTTAGCACAGTATGTTAAAAATGGTAGAATGCAGGTTTGTAACCATTGTGCCTCTGTCTTTCTGTTACAGGCCACTGCTTTGTTGTTGGAGGGTTATGCTATGCTGAAAGTTAGGTTTGAAAGCATTCTTCCATTTTTTTTGTAAACTGACCAGTATTGTTATTACAAATCTACATTCTACCATGTGATGTGATGTAATGTGAGGTGCAGATATAGTCACTTATAGTTAAACATTTCAGATAAACTTGCATCAGGATCAAAGGATTGGATTATGATAAGCTGTTGTGTAGGGTGAATATTTTCTCAACTGGAAAAGAGAAGGTTGAAAGGTGATTCTGTAGGTTAATGGCAAGTAATATCATTGTGTCCAGAATAGCACAATCAAAGGACACCACTCAAGAGAAGTAAACTCGAAAGTAAAGTGCAGAAACAATATTTCATGCAGTTAATCTGTTGAACAAATCCTATATTGATTTACTCAAATGCTAATCAAATTTCTTTTCAAAAATAACAGGAAAGAGTATGTGGATAAATTTAAAGAAATGACAAGGTATGTATGGTAGAATAATTGGGAGGCACCAGGCAAGTGTTGATTTCTGGTCCCCAAAATTGTCCAAGGCACGTTTTCCCTCATGTCTGGGTCTGTTGTGGAGTAATTGACATGAAATTGATTACTATGATTAGTGAATCACAACAATTTTGTTCCATGCACCTACCAAATTGTGGAAGGCACACTAAGTGGACTTGGCTGTTTGTTTTTAGAATTTTTATGTTACTGTAATAAAGCCTCTTGAAGAAGCTTTGGAAATTGGATAAATGCTGATTTGAATTGGAATAATTCTCCTTTGTGGAATAACCATGTAAAGATAGGATAAACATCATGAGAGAAGGCAGTTGAAACAAAACAGAATTATTTGTAATCTTCTGTTTGCCCATTGTACCTATTGCCTTGTCTGTTACATTGATTATCTTAATCATCAGCATTATTTTTGCCAGTATATTCCAAATGTTTGTTTTCTTATTTCTGATATATTCACTGGAAATAAATTCAGTTTAATAGTTAGCAGCTCTTGAAATAGCTGAGTGTTAAAAACTTTATCCTTTCATTGAAACATTTTAGTCACTAGAACATTGAAAGTTTGCTAAAACAGAATCATCCAAACTAAAAACATTAGCCTCCAAACTATTAATTCTGCAGAAGTTTATATACCTTACTTCCAAACCTACTTCTGATAAATCTATTAAGGACTTACAACTCCAGATTCAAAGATATAGTCAGCAATAAGAGATGCTGAATATGTATATATTTTTAATCAATTGTTTAGACCTGTGACGACACACCTCTGGAGTAGGTGGGGCTTGAACCTGGATCTTCTGGTTGCTGAATATGTAAGCTTGTTTGTATCAAATAAGTTCTGTTGATGGATGTTTAAATATCTTGTAGTTGAAGGTAATGAGGTAAATGGGTGTTGGGTTTTGATCTGTACTAAGATTGTATTTAGATGCGTTTATAAAGAATTGCCAGCCATCACTAGGGTGGGGTTGTTTTGAGTGGAGATGTAAGCTCTGTTAAAACACATATTCTCCATCAAAGCATTCTAGTCTCAAGTGTATTCTTCATGAATAGACTTGGAGGTGCTCTAACTTTGATAGCTGAGAATGGCACCCCAGGAGTGATAGTTGGAGACTAAAATTTACTTTCAGATAAAAGTTTTGAATTCTTTAAAGACTGTTCGGAGGATCTTGGCAAATGTTTGAAACCAAATATAACGTGTCTGCATATGATTTCATGCCACTAATTTGTGAAGTGGAAATCTTAAAGAAAAATAAAGTCACTGCAGATATATGATGTTTCTATCAAAGAGAAAGCAAGAGTTAACCTCTGCACTTTCAATTCTGCCAGAAGCAAAATCAGCTGCAAAATATTCTGAGCAACTGGACAGTGTAGGGGTTTGAACATTGTGAAATCTGATCTATAAATTTTAAGACAAAGATGACTTATGATTTCAAATGAAGCTTGGTCAGATTTTAATAAACTTGGAAAACTGGGTAATTCTTCCATTTGGGCTATTGCTTGTGCTTGGAGACCGACATTAAGAGGCTTTTGGTTTTAATTGGGGCTGAATCCAGAAAGGGAGACCCGCTTCTAGATCAGATGGCCTCAGTGTTTTTTAAAATAAAGCATCGATTTCTGGCTTTTATGGCATAAATGGCCTTATCAATGATACCAGAAATGGAGAATACAATGCTAACAGCTTCTTGAGGATGTTCATATCAGACAAAACAGCTGCATGAAAGAATCATAAAGAAAAGGGAGGATAGAAACCTTTGTGACATAATTAGTGGCAGGAGTGCAATTATGAAGGAAAGATGAAATCTAGGAATGACAAGAGGTAGTTAGTTAATAGATTCTTCAGTTGTGACTCAAAGTGCCAATATGTTGAATTGTCCAACGATGCAATATTGCTTTTGTTTTTTGAGATGATACATGAATTGGAAGGTATAGAATGAGAGAACGACAACACTGATGAATCGGAAGGAACTGTATTGATCACTAGATCCATCAGTCCAACATGAGTATTAATCCCTTAGAGCCAGGGGCTCGGATGGAGAACAATTTGTTAGTTGCGTCCAGGAAGGCTTTTTGAGGCATTATGTTGACCATCCAACCAGAGAGGGGGCCATATTGGACTTGGTCCTCTGGAATGAACTGGGACAGATGATTGATGTTTCAGTAGGAGAGCATTTTGGGCTTAGTGTCCATAACTCTGTAAGATTTTGAGTAGTCATGGAAAAGGACACATGTGGCCCTTGGGTGAGGGTGTTTAATTGGCAAGAGCCAATTACACCTAAATTAGCAGGAACTGTAGAATGTGGATTGGAAGCAGTTATTTGATGGCAAATCTACCTCTGGCATATGGGAGGCTTTTAAAGACCAATTGACTAAAGTGCAGGACAAGGATGTCCCTGCAAAACTGAAAGATAGGAATGGCAGGATTGAGGAACAGTGAATGACGAGGGAAATTGGAAGGTCAGTCAAAAGAAAAAGGGAAACATACAACAAGTCTAGACAGCCATAAACTGACAAAGCCCTGGAGACGTACAGAGTAATTAGGAATGACCTTAAATGCGCAACTAGGAAGGCAAAAAGGGGCCATGAAATGTCTTCAGCAAACAGGGTCAAGGAGAATCCCAAGACTTTATGCATATGTTAGGAGAAAGGGGGTAACAAGGGAAAGAGTCTTAGGTCCTTTGTTGCTTGTAGTATATATAAATCATCTAGAGGAAAATGTGGTTGGTCTAATAAGCAAATTTGCTCATGACACAATGATTGGTGCAGTTGCTGATAGTGCCAACAATTGTGAAAGTATACAACAGGATATCGATAGATTGGCGACTTGGACACAGAAATGGCAGATGGAGTTTAATCCAGACAAATGTGAGGTGATGCATTTTGAAGGATCAAATTTAGGTGTGAATTCTATTATAAATGGCAGAACCCTTAGGAATTCTAACATTCGGATGTATCTGGGCGTGCAGGTCCACAGTTGCCTGAAAGAGGCAACACAGGTGATTAAGAAGGCATATGGCATGCTTACCTTCATCGCTCAGGACGTGGAGTACAAGAGTTGGCAAACCATGTTGCAGCTATATAAAACCATTGTTAGGCCACGTTTGGAATATTGTGTGCAGTTTTGGTCATCACACTACCAGAAGGATGTGGAAGCTTTGGAGAGAGTACAGAGCAGGTTCATCAGGATGTTGCCTGGTCTCCAGGGCATTGACTATGAGTAAAGGTTAAGAAGACAGAATTGTTTTCACTGGAAAGATGGCAGCTGAGAGGAAACCTGATAGAGGTCTACAAAATTATGAGAGGCATAGATAGGGTGGATAGTCAGAGGCTTTTTCCCAGGGGTGAAGTTTCAATTACAAGGGGACACAGGTTCAAGGTCAGAGGGGGAAAATTTAAGGGAGATGTGCGAGGGGAAGTTTTTCATGCAGAGAGTGGTAGCAGCCTGGAATGCACTACCAGAAGGAGGTGGTGGAAGCAGGCACATTGAAGACATTAACAGGCACCTAGATGGGTACATGAATGGAAGGGAATAGACGGATACAGATCAAAAAAATGGCAGGTATGCTTTTAGATTAATTAGGGCAATATGGTTGGCACAGGCCTGGAGTGCCGAAGGGCCTATTCTTGTACTGTACTTTTTCATTTGTTCAAGATTTGCTTAATTGTGCAGTTGGCATAAAAATAGGTGGGAAGTCTACAGAAAAATATGACCAGTTAAGTGAGTGGGCAAAAACTTGGTACACAAATTATTACGTAGGAAAATGTGAGGTTATCCACTTTGGCAAGAAGAATAAAGGAGCTGAATATGATTTAAACAGCTATTAATGACATGGGTATAGAGATTTAAAGGAAAAGAAGAAAATTATTCCAAAGCTACTTCAACATTTGTATATTTATCTTGCCACATGTTGAAGATTGTGTTAAAGGATGCAGGGGAACTTGAGGAATACAGTAAACTTAAGATAATGAAAAATGTGATATTTTCAAAACATACAGGGCAATTTCATTGTGTCATTAAAACCTCTCACCAATTGAAAACTTAATGAAACTAGTAATGGATCTCCAGTTTTAGAATAGAC